GCAAGAATCCCTTAGAAGAAATGGACAAGCCCTCATAGTCAACAAGAGTCCAAAATGCAGTGTTTGGGTGCAATCTCAAAGACAACAGAAGGATCTCAATTCATTTCCAAGGCAAACCATTCAACATCACAGTAATCCAAGTCTATACCCCCACCACTAATGCCAGAGAAGGTGAAGTTGAGTGGTTTTATGAAGGGCTACAAGACTTTCCAGAATAAAAGATGCTCTTTTCATCATAGATGACTGGAATGCAAAAGTAGGAAGTCAAGAGATACCTGGAGTAACAGACAAGTTTGGCCTTGGAGTACAAAATGAAGCAGGGCAAAGGCTAACAGAGTTCTGCCAAGAGAACACATTGGTCATAGCAAGCACTCTCTTCCAAAAATACAAGAGACAACACTACACATGGACATCACCAGATAGTCAATATCCAAATCAGATTGATTATATTCTTTGTAGCCGAAGATGGAGAAATTCTATACAGTCAGCAAAAACAAGACCTGGAGCTGACTGTGGCTCAGATCATCAGCTCTGTATTGCAAAATTCAGGCTTAAATTGAAAAAAGTAGGGAACACCACTAAGCCATTCAGGTATGACCCAAATCAAATCCCTTGTGATTATTCAGTGGAGTTGATGAATAGATTCAAGGGATTAGATCAAGTAGACAGAGTGCCTGAAGAACTATAGATGGAGGTTCATAACACTGTACAGGAGGTGGTGACCAAAGCCATCCCCAAGAAAAAGAAATGCAGAAGGCAAAGTGGTTGTATGAGGAGGCATTACAAATAGCTGAGAAAAGAAGAGAATTGAAAGTCAAAAGAGAAAGGGAAAGACATAGCCAACTGAATGCAGAGTTCCAGAGAAAAGCAAGGAGAGATAAGAAAGCCTTCCTTAAGTGAACAGCGTAAAGAAATAGAGGAAAATAAGAGAATGGCAAAGACGAGAGATCTTTTCAAGAAAATTAGAGATATTAAGGGAACATTTTACACAAAGATGGGCACAATAAATGACAGAAATGTATGGACCTAACAGAAGCAGAAGGGATTAAGAGGAGGTGGCAAGAATACACAGAAAAACTGTACAAAAAAAAATCTCAATGATCCAGATAACCACGATGGTGTGGTCACTCACCTAGAGTCAGATACCTTGGAGTGCGAAGTCAAGTGGGTGTTAGGAAGCACTACTACGAATAAAGCTAGTGGAGGTGATGGAATTCCAGCTAAACTATTTCAAATCCTTAAAAATGATTCTGTTAAAGTGTTGCATTCAATATGCTAGCAAATTTGGAAAACTCAGCAGTGGCCATAGAACTGGAAAAGTTCAGTTTTCATTCCAATCCCCAAAAAAGGCAATGCCAGAGAATGTTAAAATTCCTGTACAGATGCACTCATTTCACAAGATTATGCTCATAACCTTTCAAGCTAGACTTCAGCAGTACATGAAGCAAGAAATTTCAGATGTATAAGCTGGATTTGGAAAAGGTAGAAGAACCAGAGACCAAATTGCCAACATCCATTAAATCATAGAAAAAGCAAGGGAATAAAAAAAAAAAATCTACTTCTGCTTCATTGAGTACACTAAAAAAAAAAAAAAAGCTTTTGTGTGGATCACAACAAACTGTGGGAAATTCTTAAAGATATGGGAATACTAGACTATTTTACCTGTTTCCTAAGAAACCTGTATGCAGGACAAGAAGCAACAGTTAGAACCAGAGATGGAACAATGGAATGGGTTCAAAACTGGGAAAGGAGTACATCAAGGCTGTATACTGTCACCCTGCTTATTTAACTTACAGAGTACATCACGTGAAATACCAGGCTGGATGACTCACAAGCTGGAATCAAGATTGCTGGGAGAAATATCAACAGCCTCAGATATGCAGATGATGCCACTATAATGGCAGAAAGCGAAGAGGAATTAAAGAGCCTCTGATGAAGGTGAAGGAGGAGAGTGAAAAAGCTGGCTTAACATTCAAAAAACTAGGATCACGGCATCTGGTCCTATCATTTCATGGCAAATAGATGGGAAAACAATGGAAACAGTGACAGACTTTGTTTTCTTGGGCTCCAAAATCACTGCAGATGGTAACTGCAGCCATGAGATTAAAAGATGCTTGCTCTTTGGAAGAAAAGCTATAACAAATCTAGACAGTGTATTAAAAAGCAGACATCACTTTTCTGATGAAGGTCCATATAGTCAAAGCTATGGTTTTCCCAGTAATCGTGTAATGGATGTGAGAGCTGGACCTCACAAATCCATAAAAAAAGGTAAGAGCCAAAGAATTAATACTTTTGAACTGTGGTGTTGGAGAAGACTCTCGAGCGTCCCTTGGACAGCAAGGAGATCCAACCAGTCAATCCTAAAGGAAATCAGTCCAAAATATTCATTGGAAGGACTTATGTTGAAGTTGAAGCTCCAATACTTTGGCCACCTGATGCGAAGAACTGACTCATTGGAAAAGACTGATGCTGGGAAAGGCAGGATAGAAGGGGGTGACAGAGGATGAGATGGTTGGATGGCATCATTGACTCAAGACACATGAATTTGAGCTAACTTCTGGAGACAGTGTGAAGGACAGGGAAGCCTGGCATGCTGCAGTTGATGGGGTTAAAAAGAGTCAGGCACCACTTAAAAACACCATATAATTTTTAATAGTATCAAAACAAACAACCCAATCAACAAATGGGCAGAAGATCTAAACAGACATTTCTCCAAAGAAGACATAGATAGCCAACAAACACATGAAAGATGCTCAACATCACTAATTACTAGAGAAATGCAAATCAAACCTACAATGATGCACCATCTTACAGCAGCCAGAATGGCTATCATCAAAAAATCTGTAAACAATAAGTGCTGGAAAAGGTGTGGAGAGAAGGGAACCCTCCTACACAGTTGGCAGTAATGTAAATTCTTATAGCCACGTTGGAGAACAGTATGGAGGTTCCTTAAGAAAATAAAAATAGAGCTACTATATGACCCTGCAAGATCCCACTCTTGGGCATAAATCCAGAGAAAACCATGATCTGAAAGAATACATGCACCCCAATGTTCATTATGGCACTGTTTCCAGTGGCTAAGACATAGAAGCCCCCTAAATGTCCACCAACAGAGGAATGGATAAAGAAGAGAAGAAGACTCCACCCCTCACACTTGTGCTCCCTCAACCCGGCCTCTCGGGCTGGAATAAGGCGGGGAGGGGCGGGGCGGCGCTGGTGCGGCCCCGGAATCCTCGCTGGGACTCCGGGAAGTCATGCTTGCGCAGTCTGGCGCCCTGGCCGTGGGTGCAGGTCTCCGCGATGGTCGACTGGGCATCCTTGGCACCCGCGCTTGCCGTCTTTTCTGGCAGCTGGGGATCTCCTGTTGTCTTCACCCGCAACCGCCCCTCGGGCCCTACTTCAGAGTCCCCTCCCCTCCTCTGGTAGGCTGGCGGCTGCTCTTGGGGTTTCACCTCTCCGTACATCGAGACCGCTGGCCCGGCGGCTATTTGCCGCCCCCAGCCCTACCTCCCCTGGGGCTCCGCCAGGGGAATGACAGGCTCAACACCTTGCTCGCCCATGAGTAGTCACACAAAGGAAAGGGTGACAATGACCAAAGTGACCCTGGAGAATTTTTACAGCGACCTTATTGCTCAACATGAACGAGAAATGAGACAAAAGAAGTTAGAAAAAGTGATGGAAGAAGAAAACCTCAAGAATGAAGAGAAACAACGTCAGAGATCAACGCATGCTCGGAAGGAAACAGAGTTTCTTCGTTTGAAGAGAACAAGACTTGGACTGGGAGATTTTGAGTCCTTAAAAGTAATAGGCAGAGGAGCCTTTGGTGAGGTGTTCAGAAGAAAGATACGGGCCACGTGTATGCAATAAAAATACTTCTTAAAGCAGATATGCTTGAAAAAGAGCAGGTTGGCCACATTCGTCCAGGCAGGCAGTTGTGCAAATGTTCTACAGTTTTCAGGATAAGCTAAACCTCTACCTAATGTTAGCTTTGAGAATTTGTGTGGATGCCTTTGTCAGATATGCTCTTATTATTCTGGACTTGAATTTTGTCCAATTCTTTTTTCATCCATTGAAATATTCATATTTTTATTTTCCATTTTCCTGATGTGGTAAACTCAGTGATATTTCAAGCACTGAATTAGTTGCACTTCTGGGATGATCCCTAATTAGTCTTGATGTATTCTTTTTTTTTATGTTTAGTTTCATTTGCTAAGTATTGTTGAGGGTTTTTAAGTATCAATAAATATTTAATTTTTAAAAGAAACTTTTGGTTTTAGATTTTAAGAGCTAAATTTACTTTTGTCACCTATTTTGCAGTATGTATTCAAGTCTATACCATTATGTGGTATACCTTAAACTCATTCAGAGCTATTTGTCAATAACCTCTCAATAAATCTGAAAGATAAAAGTAATTAAACACGTATATGGGCTTCCCTGGTGGCTCAGTGCTAAAGAATCTGCCTGCCAATGTGGGAGATGTGGTTTCGATCCATGGGCAGGGAAGATCCCAAGGAGAAGGAAATGGCAACTCATCCAAGTATTCTTGCCTGGGAAATCCCATGGACAGAGGAGCCTGGCAGCCTACAGTCCATAGGATCCAAAGAGTCAGATGCGATTTAGTGACTAAACAGTAACAGCAACATCCACACAGCCCCTGGCATATACATGTTATATAATCACACATTTACTTCTATATCAAAAACACATATATTATGGACAGATTTATATATAATCCCCTCACATGCACATAACACACTCATGTATACCACATAAAACCACATACACCACATACCACCACACTCATGTACACCACAAACACATACTATACACCCTCCACTCAAAGCACACATACAACATATACACAATCACACCATATACAAAAACACCACAGATACCTCCCCCCATAGTCACAACATTCTTATGCCACGTGAATGCATCACACGCACACACACACACACACACACACACACTTCTGTCTAGATATGTGTCTTGGTTCTTACCTCCTAAACAGACAAAGTGTGTGTTCGCAGCCATCATTTCCTTACACGAATTTTTCACAAGCTGGAACAGAGGGGTGGCAGGGTCAGGGAGATTGGTAGCAGGGACATGGGGAAAAGGCAGTTCACCTCCCCTCTCATGTTTAACCCACACTCACCGAGGCAACAAGCTTTTCTGCAGAATTGAATTCATCTATCCCATACATTTGGTCCTTTCTTTCTACAATATTATGTAGCTAGAAGGGAGAGGAGATGGTTGGCACACAGCAGGTCCTGTCCCAGGAGATAGGCTCTTGCTTGCTGCCATGTTGGATTCCAAGGGCCACACCCTGGCATCTGTCAGCAGCCCACCCCTCAGGGAATGGAAAACTTCTCCACCCATACCTCTGGTGTTTAGGTATACACAACACTTGCTATTCATCTGCTGTGGCTACCTATTGTTCAAACACTTGGGGTGGGGTCGAGGGACATCCACTAGGTGATGCTGGGACAACTGCCTTTGAAAGCTTTCCCCAGCTGGGCTCAAGAGTGGCACCTGGTTACCTGTTCTGAATTACCTGATCTCTCTTATAATCTTTTACACCCAAGCAGTAAACCTTGGCCCCCATATCCCGAGCCTGTTGAGCCTAAGAGAAAAAAATATTTTGAGTGCAAACACGCAAATACATGGAGCACAAAGCTGATAATGATGAACAGAACTCACTTCCTTCTTTGTGTCCTGTAACGTCCTTGGTAGCAGTGGCCCCGCAGTCAGGGTGATAATCAGGCTGGAAGCACTATTCTCTGCAGGAGAAGCAGGGAGTGGCCTGGTCAGAAAGGCATCTGGAGAGACCTGTTCACACTGCTAGGCCTCCAGCTTGGCTCCCGCACCTCCTCCTGATCCAAGTAGCCACTATTCAGATGCCTAGAGAGAAAGGGCCTTAGCCCAGGACCCACTTGACAGATGAGGAGCCTGAGACTGGCTCAGAGCTCTTCCTGGTGGCCCCTCACTAGGGGCAGGTGGCACAGCCTTTATCCTAAATGGCAACTGCAGCTACATCCTGGCAAGGACAAGCCTCTGAGGTGAGCACAGGGAGGAACAGCCAGACTGTCAGATGCTTGGGCAGCGGCCCCTGCCCAGCTCCCTGCCTTTCCCCAGCAGTCTCTGCATCTTTCCTGATGAGGGCTGCAACCCTACCGTCTACATGCAGATGGTTCTGGGCCGAGCACAGCCTTTCTCACTGTTGGAAACATGGTCACAGGGTGAGAGTCAATCAGAGGGGAGAGGCTGAAGGGAAAGGGGGCAGAGCCAGAACTGTGGTGGACAGAGCGTGGACAGCCAGGGGGACACCAAGGTCTCTGCTCCCTAAACTGAACTCCATCTACTCAGTGTCCCTGGAATTTCTCTTCTCTTTTTCATGCAGCTCAACTGTAGGTCAAGCACTTGATATCTAGTAAGAACCAGGAATGTAATGCATGACCCCTGTGGTTCTCAGAAACATCCCTGGGGGAGCTTTGCATCCTCACTGTGGAGAGGAGGAACCTGCAGCACAGAGTGAGCAAGGAGCTCGCTCCAAGAGTCAGCGCTAGGAGCTGGCCGAGGAGGGTCTGCACCAGCCCTCGCTGAGGCCGGGCCTGGCTCTGTCCCACCTGAGCACAGTGATGTCAGTGGGCAACTTACCTCCCGAGGTAGCATGTTGAATCTGTTTATTTGCCTGCAACAAATTGAAAGAAAGTTGGGGGAGGGCAGTCAGATGACCAAATGATACTCTAAGAACTTGACAAAGCAGAATAAATTCTCAGAACTGTCTTTGTACCTTTATCAACCCTTCCTGCAAGTTTGTGGCTCCTGTAGGCACTATGTTCTGAAGTCGGCTAAGACCACGACTTATTTCTTGTCTGAAAAATCAGAAAAGAGGATAGAGGGAGATGGTGGTTGATCATTAAAAACAACCCCAGCTGTCCTGGCATCATTCTCCCCTGTGCAGACCTGCCTGGACCAGAGAGAACACAAGTGGTCCTGTCGTGACCCTTCTGCCCATGTTTCTGCCACTGACAGAACTTAGTCAGGCCCTCTTCATCTCTCATCCAGAGAGCCTGGAGGATGCAGTTTTGTTAGTCCCGTAAGTCAGGCCTGGCTTTCAAAGTGCTCATCTCTGTCTCAGGCATCCAGACCTCAGGGGACTCAGCAAGGGCCCTGCCTTGACCATCTGTGTTGAGAGGGGTGCACCCACGGATATGCACCTGTGGATCTGGTACCCCCGACATGACTGGCTGTACTGCTGGCACATAAGGAGTCCCTAGTGAGGGGTCCCTAATGAGGGCATTATCCTCCAACAAGGAAGGCTGAGTTTGAGAAGTCACTCTGCTGATACTCCTGCCCTGTTCCCTCCTCCCCTGCCATAGACCCCTGTAGTGGACTGGTCCCCCATATTTGGGGGTGCTCTCAACAAAAAAGAAAGCCTCCCAAAAGTGACAGGAAGAGTGGGGTGGGTAGGGCCTGGTTCAGCCTCCACTGGTCCTGATCACAGGCCTCCTCAGTTCCCATGCTAGGTCAGGCAGGGCAGGACCAGGGGCTCTCAGATCTCAGCCCACGGCAGAATCCCTTCTGCCTGAGGCAAGAGCCAGCCTTCAGGTGCCACATCCTCTAAGACTTTCTGTAACAGCTCAGCCACCACACCAGATAAGCTTGAACATAAGCCCCACCCCCTGGTGTGTCCCAGTCCCATCCCCTGCTATCTGCTTTAACAGAGGCCAACAGAGATCCCTGCAGCAGCCTGGGATCACTGCTTTTCTGCTGGCATGAACAGTCTTCAGGCATCTTTTCCAGCTTATGGTCTATTTCTTCAGGAGCACAAGAAGCCCAAGAGCCCTAGACTCTGATGGAGCAGCTTGACAACTTCCCTTAGCACTGATCCAGAGGCTGAGAGGATGGGATAGGTAGAGGATAGAGTTTAGATAGGGTGTAGATATTTAGCAGGATGTGGTCTCTCAGTGCCAGCTCAGCCAGAGGTCGGTGGGGGCCAGGGAGCCAGGGCTGAGGGGTCAAATTAGGCACCAAGGGGAGCCCAAGATGGTTTAGTCTGCACCCAGTGGGTCCTCAGCGAACCCCTCAGTTCCCTGTGACCCCTCCCAACATGCCTACCTTGGTGGATTAAAACAGCACTTGCCTGTCTGAGGTGAGCTTCATGACAGTTTTGCCCTGTGTGGAGTAGGTGATGAAGGACATCTGCAGGTTAGGGCTGGAGAAGAAGTATGCAAATGAAGCCAGTGAGGAGCCATGAAGGGGGTGCTTGCCAGTTTCCCTGCTCCCATTCCAACTCTTCTCCTTGGGGTCATTTCCTGAACCCCGGAGGTTCCTACAACTTAGTAGAGGATTTTGAGGCCTGTGGAGACGTGGGGCCTTCTTGCTCCATCCCTATACACCCACCCCCCACTCCAAATCTCCTTCTGTCTCTCTCTTTCTCTCTCTCTCTCTCACACACACACAGGCATGCACATGGCACATGCACCAGAAGATAGGCACCTATCTACTTTTGCATGATTCTCTCAACTGGCCTCTTTTCTACTGTAATATTCTTTGTAACTTCATTCCTTTTCCTTCCTTGCCCTCCTTCCCCATGTCCTGCTCTAATCAAAGAAATTATTCTACCTCATTTCAGCCTTTCACACATCTTCCCCTTCTCCACATCCAATGATCCTCATTATTTTTTATCTTAATTGCTGCCATAGGTCCCAACTGTGCTCTCTACTTCTCTTGGCTCTTGTTACAAGTCATTTTGACCATTGCTATCAGACTTTTCTACCTGGAGGACATCATGTACCATATTAAACACTTACTCAAGAATCAGCTATAGCTCCAAATTTCTCACAGCCAGAATTCTAAGCCCCTTGGCTTGGCATTATGAGCCTCAGTGGTTCTGGCCCCATGCTGTCCTATTCAGACTCATTTCTCACCCTTCCCCTGAGTTAACCCTACTCTCCAGTTAAATAGACCACTCACCCCATAAGAAACCTCCTTGATTATTCCTGTTACCCTGTCTTTTCCCATTCTTTGGATGTAGTTCAAAATTTCAGATCCCCTAGGAAGTCACATTTGGTTTTTAAAAAATAAGAATACTTGCTTTTCCCTTAAAGTTGCAAGTAATTCCTTTGCACATTTCCCTTAACCCTTGGCACCATTTAACTCGGTATTTGGTTACTGGTTTGCCTGTTTCTTAATCTGTGAGGTCTCAAGGACAGACTATGTCCCTTACAGTGTGGCTTGACTCACAGGCAGGAGCCAAGAAATGTGCTGAGACTTGATAGAACCAGAGTGATGTGTCCTTTCTGCTTCAGAACACTCCTGTCCCCGGGCTCTGTGCCCCTGACCAAAGGGACTTCTGTGACCACCAAATCTAGAGAGCTGTGTACCCAGCCCAGAAGAGGAAAACACCAGCCATACTTTGTGTACTTCTTCACTATTTCATCCACTAATTTGTTAATGTCCTTCCAAATGTTATTTGCCTTCTGTGACCTGAAAACAAAGAAGACCTGAGTCAGAGGCATAAGGGGCATCCATCCAGTGGGTGGAGTTTCTGCTTCTCCAGATTCTAGCAGAAACTTTAGAAAATCCTCCCCATCCCAGGTAGCACAAGGCTGCCACACTCTCTTAGTGACCTCAGTGGGTCACCCTATTAAAAATCACCCTCGGGTCACAGTGATTTTTATCACTGTGAGTGCTGGGGAGGATGATCAACCAGATTCATGTGCAGGGGGTTGAGGGACTTTGGGTAGCAAATCAGGAGGGTCAATCATTTTACTTGGGGCTCAAAGACAAGAAAAGAGGGATGGTGTGTTGGTTATAAAGGCCTCCAGTGATTCTGCTATGTTGGCTCTCATTGTTCCTCACTTACAGGCACCCAATACGCACTGGCCTCAGGCCAGGGAGGGTGTGTTACTCGGAGCGTTTTGTTTCCATTTCTTCTCATCAATCTGCAAAGCTGAGCCACTCTGGACACTAAGGGCCTTTTCTGGGACCACTGTCTGGGGAAGGGCTGAACATGGCCTGGAACACTGCTGTCCTGGCATCATGATATCCCACCAGCAGGGAAAGCCTCGGGCCCTTCTTTGGCCTTCCAGATCCTTGTTCCCGTTACCTTTAACGCTATTGCCAGGATGGAGACAGAGGAGGCTGAAGGGTGTTGTGGCCTCAATGCCCCTTTTGTCTAGGTGGGAAGTAGCTATATGTGTCCTAGCCACTCAGGGTTCGAAGGTCCTTGCAATCCCACACCTCTGCAGGCTGCACTAGGCCAGGTTATGAAGGGCAAATGTAGGTCTCACTGGCTAAGTGTTTGTCAAGGTTCTGCACATGGTAAGACTGTAACTGAGGCTGGTGCCCTGTCTTGGGCTGTTTTCCAGTGAATGTGAAAATGAGTCTGAGGAACCCACCACAAGTTCCTTCCTTCACCTCCAGTGATCATCATATTCATAAATATGCTGAGTATCAAATGTGTGATTCCCTTATACCCAAGAACATCCTTTTCTTTACCTTTCCTTCTGCCTCCTCTAGGCTGCATTAAATCTGTCAAGAGATGGTGAGTAAAGTAGCTGTTGGATTACTCTAACAACTTGAGGATTATCATTTACGCAGCACATACATACCCATCACTTTATATGCATGATTTCCAATTCCAAAACACCCCTATGATGCAAGAAAGAAAACTGAGGCTTTCACAGATCAAGGAATTTTCTAAAATTTCCAAGGTTACCATGGATTTAAACCCACATCTAGCTGAAAAAGCCATGCTCTACACATCACACTTGTCAGCTCTAGGTGTTATGGTTGTGTTTGATAATTGCTCTGTTGTGAAGTGTCAGATCCTCTCAATCCACTCATAACACACACTTTCTCTTGGAAGCTCCTATGCTAATGTGTAAGAAAACGCCTTTCTAAATATTGGTACCACTTTCTATTTTCCTTCTCATTACTCCTATCTTCTGTGATCCCTCTCAGTAAAGAGGATCTTCAAAAGATTTTTCAGGAAACAAGTACCTTCAACCCATGCAGCTTCTCTGGGAGAATTTCCAGTTTGTGATTATTTTGAAAGAAGGTCTAGATTCTAGAATATATGCACGTGCGCGCATACACACACACATCCATGAGAGTGCATAGACAATGGACAACACCACAGAGATCTACAGGTCCCTTAGAAAAGGTAGTATGGAACAGAGCAACTATGTGGGCTTTTGACACATAGAGCTTTAATCATGATTTAGTGCCTCACTCCTAAATGAAAATGAAGAGATGAGGATTACCAGAAATTTGAGGACATCTCCACTATTAAAACTTTAGGTCAAAGCATGTTAGTGATATAGCTGTGCTGAGAGATTGGAAGTTGCTGGGGCAGAATCATGCAGGGGAGCTGAGCTATAAAAATGTTAACTTTTCCTCCCCCATGGTAAGAGGGCAATAAGGAACTTGCAAACTCTCACAGCAGGAAACAGCAGTCAGTACAAGCACTGTATTAGAAACATGATCATAATGCCAACAGAAAAGTCTGGAAGGTTTGTAGATGGCTACCTTTGGAGAGTGGTATCAGAAAGGAAGGAATTCCCTGGTGGCTAAGACAGTCGAGTCTGCCTGCAGGCAGGAGCCTCACAGATTCTTTTTTTACATTGTAAACTTTGTAATAGTGTCTGATTTTAAATTTATGTTTAAGCATATCATCCTAAATGTAAAAATGAAATTGCAAACAAAAACTTGTAGCATGGAGAATGGAATTAAATGGCAGATTCTAAAACTCCAAGTCCTCATTCTCCCATGGACACATTGAGTAAACAACAATAAGCTGTCAACATCAACTTTGTAAGAACTCTGAAAGTGAAAGTGAAAGTGTTAGTCACACAGTTGTGTCTGACTCTTTGTGACTCCATGAACTGTAGCCCAACAGGCTCCTCTAGTCCATGGAATTCTCCAGGCAAGAATGCTGGTGCGGGGTGCTATTTCCTACTCTAGGGGATCTTCCCATCCCAGGGATCGGACCCAGATCTCTTGCACTACAGGCAGATTCTTTACCAATAAGCTGTCAACACCAACTTTGTAAACACTCTAGAAAACAATAAAATGTAAATAATAAGGCAAATGTGCAATCAAGAAATAGTTCTCTTCAAAATGGCATAAGAGTTTTGTGGCAATTTTATTCACCTTTCCCCTACTCCCTCTTTGGTATAGTGGCCATTTTGATCTTGATCAGTGGTCCAGTTGCAAGTTCTTCTAGATTCTAGAAGAATCAGTGTAGATCTTACTTATGGATTATTATGTACATCTCTTTAAACCTGTTTGGATGAACATTAGAATGCTCAAAAATAGCTGTAATACAAGTAAATTCAAAAAGCCACACATATGCCAGGGCCAGAAGTATGCTAGAAAAGTTCTGAGAAGACCTTTAGCTTTTACCTTGAGTAGGTATCTAGGCTCAGAGCAAGCCTATCTAAGTGGTGAAAGAATACCCCAGCAAGTAACCATTCTGCAATGGTTGAGAGAAGTGCTGTTTTGTCTGTCTGTCTCCTATCTCTTTCTGTTTATTTCTTTTGGGGATGATTTTATATTTGTTCAACTTCTGGAAAACAAGGAAATCTCTATCAAAAATTAGCTGACTATGAGCTAATGAAACAGCAATTCCAGTGATTACAGTAATATTGCAAGTAATATTATTTGCAAAAGTAGTTTGGAAAAGTTTCAGTATAAACTGCTGCATACTTCTACAATAACAGAAACACACATCCCAATAGCCAATGGGGAATTCTGACTTCTAGAGTAACCACATTATAGTTTAAAAATAATTTTCAACAAAACATATAAGGAAATAGATCAATGCTCATTCAAAGGATGTAAATAAATTTACAGAAGCCATTCCCATGGATACCAAGGCTCCAGACTTTCTAGACAAAAACCTGAAGAAGCTTAGAGTCAAAGGAAAATAAGGATAAATAAAATCAGGAAAACAGTATATGAGAAAAATGATAATATCAACAAGAGGCATAAATTATTAAAAGAGCAAACAAATTCTGGAGCTGAAAAGTTCCATATTTAAACTGAAAAATTCTTTAGAGTGGTTCAATATCATATTTTAGCAGACAACACAAAGAACCAACAAAGCTGAGGACAGGACGATTGAAATTATCGAGTTTCAGGAGTAGAAAGAAAAAGAGTGAAGCGAAGCGATCAGTAACCTGGTGGTGAAGTGCTTCTGACAATTTTGATTTGGCATTTCCTAATTCAACTCCATGTATGCTCAGATAAATTCTTAAAAATTTAATTGTGCCTCAGTTTATCAGTTAGTATCAGAAATGGCAACTCTGAGCCCCTCTCCTTAGCGCACCCTGGGTGACACTGCCCAGAACCCTCATGTGTCTGATGTGGGTGGACCTTGAAGTCCTGCTTCTCTCCTCTACACCAATCCCTCTCTTCCTCCACCTGTAGATCTCATGTGGGTGCTCCTCTAGGGCCCATGTCCCTATTTTCTCATTGCACACACCTGCCCCCAGGCTCCTCTCTGTCTTTTCCCAACCTCTCACTGGGCCTCCTTGAACCGTTTTTCTCTTTTCACTCTGCCTGCTCCTTCCATCTATCCTCTTCTGATCAATCCTACCCAAGAAGAAAATAGAACATTGCTTCCAGTCCTTCTCTGGCCCTGAGCAGCCTCCTTGCCTCATCTGTAAAATAGGGGTAATAAATTGATTCACATTAATAAGAGTGATGAAATCACTTTTCTCCTCTATACTTATCCTCAGTGTAGGGACACAGATGGCTTCCCCCGATCAATTCTGTCTGGAACTCTGTTGCCTCTGCCTTCAAAAGAGCTCCAGAATCTGGCCCTCTTCATCACCACCCATGCCCTACTGGACCACAGTACCATTATCTTCTCCCTGGATCCCTGCCCCAGGCCCCTCACTGGTCTCCTAGCAGGCTCTACACTTGGTAACCATCAGCTGTGTCTCTTTTAGATCACAATCCAATTGTACATGTTCTCTTTACAAAAAACATGCAGTTCTTCCACTTCTCACCTTCCAGTCTGTGAGCTTGGCCTTCCCGACCAGCTTCTTAGTATAGTCTCTAGTTTTGATCTCTGGGTGGGAAAGATTCCCCTGAAGGAGGAAGTGGCAACCCACTCCAGTATTCTTACTGGAAAAACCCTTTGGACAGAGGAGCCTGGTGGGCTACAGTCCAAATGGTTGTAAAGAATTGGACACGGTTGAGTGACTAAGCGTGCACATGCACGCGCACACACACACACACACACACACACACACACACAGAACACTTTCCATTCTCCTGTCTGGAAATCCTCCAGTATGCTTATTCCCATGTAAAATAATACTTATTCTCCTCTAATTTATCACTTGTCTCTCTGCTAAAATGGAAGTTCCAGGAGGACAAAGACTGCTGAATTTTGTTTTCTGCCTTATCCCTACTTCCCCCAACAGTGGCTAAAGTATAGCATGGCTCAGTAGTTATTTGTAAATGGATGAATTAATAAGGGAATGAATGAATGAACAGGAATGCTAATATCATGAGCGGAATGTCCCAGATGACTTCAAAAACACTAACTTAACTGGTAGCCCACCTCTCCACAAAGGGCAGTGAGGGCTGGATCACGGTCCTCTGGAATGCAGAGGATGTCCAGAGTGGGGCTCTGCCTTCCTCAGCAGTTCCTCCCATACCTTCACTCTATTTTTCATCTGATGTTATAGTAGAAAAACCACCTATGAATTGCCCTTCATCATCTTCACACCCTGGTGAAGTGGATGTGAAGATCATCATTGTACAGGCGGGGTCACTTGTGGCAGAGAGAAGTGGGTGACTTGCTCCAGCCAGTGTGTCTGGTAAGAGCCAATACATTGGAAAAGACTGTGATGCTGGAAAAGATTGAGGGCAGAAGGTGAAGGGGGGCACCAGAGGATGAGATGGTCGGATGGCATCACTGACTCAATGGACATGGGTTTGAGCAAACTCTGGGAGACAGTGAAGGACAGGGAAGCCTGGGGTCCCAAAGAGTCAGACATGACTTAGCAACTGAACAACATAATTCCACTGTAGCCATAATCTAGGCTTAATCCTGATGACCTGGGTCTGGGAAATTAGTGTGTAGGGCCCTTTCTTGGCAATGTTCAGCTCCTTTTCCCATTTGTAGAATCCAGGATTCAGTCCTGTTACTCTCACCAGCTGCTGGGTTACTTCATCCAATGTCTAGGAACCTTCCCTCTTTCCAGTTGATTATATATGCAAATACTTTCCCTACTCTACTTCCAGAACAGTTTTAATAATGACAGATATGCAGTAAAGGGATTTGGGGATTGTAAAGTGCTTCAGTGATATTGCATTGTTACTACTGAATAAGTAAAATGTATCCTCAGCCCTACAGAGGAGTTGACAATGGAACCAAGGCAATATCTGCAGTGTGAAGACCTGCCTTCCCCTCTCCTTCCTTGAGGACCAGAAAGTACTTAATGAGAGGCCCAGGTTTCCCAAAGCCATATGCAAACAGAGCAAACTGTTCAGAAAGTGCACACAAGCATTCACGTGGGTGTCCAAGTTGTCCAAGAAAGCAGAAAAACATTTAGAACCTGCAAATCAAAGGACTCGTAAGTAGTGACACCATGAGAATGTTTAACAGATGACAGGACAGTAGAAATTTCTCTGCAGGCAGTAGAAATAGAAGTCACTGGGTAAATAACAAAACAGAAATGAAACAAACCCAGAAATCACAATGAGCTTCTCCCAAGTACTGAGAAGGACAGCTCTTGGCAATCACCTGCCCCTCAAGCTGATTAAGAGACATGCAGGTCACATCCAGGTCAAGTTGATGGAGAGACTGACAACCATCCAGAAACCCTATGGTGTTTTGTTTACTTTCCAAAATATAAACGTCCCAGGGGACAAAGACCCAGGGCACTCCTAACTCAGGAGCAAGGAGGACACAGAGGTCTATTCCTTGGGTCTAATTAAGACTATTCTTGTCTCATAAGTGGCCCTTCCACTGCCATGAAGTGGTTCTGTAGACAGAGGTTCCCTGAAGAGCACCTGGGCCAGGTAGGAGAGCCACTCACGCGTCCACTATGAAGTACAGGTCAAAGGCACCCTTGCAGGATTTCAGCTTCTCCCAGGTGCTTCCGTGATGTCTGGTGCCCAGGTGGAAGCTTCTCGAGCTTGGGGGGTGGTGCAGGAATCTCCCTCGGCTAAGCGGTAGAGGCTGCAGCCCGAGCATCAGAAAGAGCATGGAGCCCAGCATCCCAGGCCCAACATTCCCCATTTTCTTTGGCACCCGCCGTGGTCCCACTGGACCGTGGCCACTTCAGGCCATCTCAGGCCGTGGCATCTGCTACCTCCGCCGGTTCCCAGGGACCACCACTCCCCCAGCCCTTTCACCGAGGTGTACTGGTGCTGTAGGCCCCCCTGATATCTGCCCTGAGTGCAGAAGAGGCAAGAGGCTGGCCTTGGGGGATGGTCCCACTCTCTGCACAATCCTCCTCCGCCCCGAGGAGGCAGAATTTGCTGTGATGTCCCTTATGAGGGACAGGGTGGTTGGCATGGTGACTTTGTGACCCGTAGGTCTACTCAGTGTCCTGCCTGCTGACAATGCCCAGAGGGAGACATGGGAGGGGGAAGATGAGGCTTCCATTTGTTCTTCATCCCGGACATTCTCAGGAGGCCGTAATTCCTTCAAAAAGCCTGCCTTTTTGTCAAGTGAAAGAAGGCAGCTGAGGTGATTTACATGAGGACATCACTGTTGGGTCAAAAATTGGGAGCTGAGAGTGCTGCAGTGATCACTTGTGTGTGACCCAGTGGATGGATAGAAGGATCTAGAAGGGAAAGAAGGCCTGCAAGGATGTCAAAGTTCCTTGAGAATGAGGGACATTTCAGTTATCTTCTTCTGTGTAGCAAATCACCCCAAACTGAGTCACATAAACAAGAACTATTTTATTATGCTCCTATTTTCAGTTATCTTCTTCTGTGTAGCAAATCACTCCAAACTGAGTCACATAAACAAGAACTATTTTATTATGCTCCTAGGTTCTGTGACCAGAAATCAGAGAAGGTTGAGTGGCCATCAATGGCTTGTCTCTGTGCTACGTGGGCATACAAAAGTCTAAGTCAAAAGTAATTAAAAAGCTAAGAATCTGAGTGTAAAACTTTTAATAAATACCTTAACCAATTTATTTTATTTTCTTCATTTTTATGTGCATAAAGAAAGAATGATATATGCTAAAAATCCTTCTCTAATAAGCCTACATCTTTCAATATATAAAATATACATTAGAAGTGATCAAAAGCATTTTTGGGGTAATATGTGAAATAACAGAATGTCTTAAATAAATGGTGTTTTGAAATTGAGGAAATCTCGGAGAAGGCAATGGCACCCCACTCCAGTACTCTTGCCTGAAAAATCCCATGGATGGAGGAGCCTGGTAGGCTGCAGTCCATGGGGTCGCGAAGAGTCAGACATGACTGAGCGACTTCACTTTCACTTTTCTCTTTTATGCTTTGGAGAAGGAAATGGCAACCCACTCCAGTGTTCTTGCCTGGAGAATCCCAGGGATGGGGTCGCACAGAGTCGGACATGACTGAAGTGACGTAGCAGCAGCAGCAGGGGTACTTCTCCCAATAGCCTATTAGGTTTTCCTGGCTTACATTCTTCATGACACTTGGTATTGTTACAGTTTTATATATTTTCCTATTGACTCAATATCTCTTTGTAGTCTTGATTTGCATGCTTCTCATTACTGATGGGATTGATTTTGGGTCCTTTCTGAAGGAGGCAACAGGTGATAAGACATTTTCAAATTAATTCTTGGACATTTATATGCTTGGTAAGCCTGGAATGTGAATCTACATGTGGTCAGCAGCCTTTTACAGAGAATGTTCATGTGTAGGAACCCCATGTCTTAGTACCCAGAGTTGAAAGTCCCAGCCATTATTTTTCTTACACCTCTGTCCTCATCAGACACTTCCTGGAGCACAGAGAAGACATTAGTTATTGAGTTTCCATATCTTCACTAGGGGCCTGGTCTTGTGCTGAGTATTTTGCGCCCTACTGCCATCTTCATTGGAGAAGGAAATGGCAACCCACTCCAGTGCTCTTGCCTGGAGAATCCCAGGGACGGCGGAGCCTGGTGGGCTGCATCTATGGGGTGGCACAGAGTCGGACACGACTGGAGCGACTTAGCAGCTTAACAGCAGCCATCTTCATGGCCAGCCTGTAGAGGAGACAATATTATCCCCATCTTTTTAGCAAGGAAATTGAAGCACAGAGAGATTAAATCACTTGCCCCAGAGATTAAGTAACAGGCAGTAATTTGAGACAATGGATCATATTCCTATTTCAAAGACATTTTGGGCTCTTTTCAAAGAGCAGAATTATGCTAAAATCCCTTGTGTCCTGGCCCTTGGTGACAGATGAAGACAGGGAGTGAGGCTCATCCATATGTACATCTATAGTAACCAGGATGCTTTGTCCTGGCAGAAGCAATATAGATATGTCTCACACAGTAGAGCAAAGCTTACCAGGTAACACACTCTCTTGCTGATCAGCAACAAATCCCAACTCCTTTTGACTATAACCAAGACTTTCTCTATACGTCTAATTCAGTACACAAAGGGCTCTTAAAAATTTGTGGGTTTGGTGCTTTTGGATGTTAGGCTATGGGGGCGGAAGTGATGAAGAGGGTCTGTAGAACTCCTCGGCAGTGGGAGGAATCAGTGGCAGCATACTGGAGGGTGGCTGGGAGCATACAGGTGGAGGGTGGTGGCATCGTGAGCAGCAGTTGTTTAGAAGAAAGGACTCCTGGCTGGGTTGAAAGCAGATATTTGAACCATAGGGCATCTGTCCACAGTGAGGCTCTGGTAGGCTAAGACTGCTGCACCTATGCTATACAAAAAAGAAGGGAATAGGAAGTCACTCAGAATACACTGGTGAATGGTGGTCTCCTCTACTCAAGGGCATATGGCTCACTACCCATCAGGACCCACAGTGTTGGCCTTTGTTGATGCCTTTTCTCTCCTTGGGTCCTGGCCTCCATTCTCTGCTTCTATCTGAGACTCTCTTTAGGCACTGGAAGTCTGCCCTGCCTTGCCCAGTAGACCCAGGCTTCAGGCTCTGGACTTCTTTGCTTTGGTGTGGAACTTTCCTGTTCCCCCTTGGCTGAGAGCCTGGAGCGTAAGGCTGAAGCTTGATCACAGCTCCAGCATTGCCCAGGTTCTCTCAGTCCATTGTGCTAAATGGATGAATCCTCATCATTACACTCAGGGTGGACTCTGAGCCCACAGTGCAGGAGCAGACGGGTGCACCATTAGATGGGTGATAGGCAGTGGAGGTGCCAGCATCACAGGCTGTTTAGGTTGGGAAGAGAATGATTCAGGCCTTTTGGACAGAAAAATATGGTTGCAACACCAACTGCCCCTGGCTTTACTGTCATCTTCTCCTTGTCCCTATCTCCTGCTCAGCTGAGGACTCTTAGCTGAAGGGCCCAGAATGCCAGATGAGGTGTCCTAAGCACCTTGGCAGCTGGCAGCATCTCTGGCACTCAGCTTCAGGAGGTGCAGACAGCAAGTAGAAAAGGCCTTCCACAATCCCCTGTGAGGAAGAAAACCATCTGGTCTTTCCCAGATTCTCTAGCTCATTTCCAGTGGATGCTTCCTCAATGACCAGTGCCCATCTTTATTATTAGATTATTGACATATAATTGACATACAATGCTATATTAGTTTCAAGTGTACAACATAGTGGTTTGACATTTATGTACATTATGAGATGATCACAATTGTTTACCATCTGTCATCATTTAAAGTTATTATGATATTATTCTATATTCTCCATTATGTATATTATACCCCCATTATTTATTTTATCACTGAATACATGTGCTTATTAATCACCTTCTCTTCTTTTGCTGACAAGATTGGTTAAGGGTTGGTCAATTTTGTTTCTCATTTCAAAGAACCAGCTCTTAATTTCACTGAGCTTTTCTATTGTTATTTTAGTTTCTATTTTATTTATTTTCATTCTTATATTCTTCTTTAGGTTTTGTTTTTTGTTTTTTTCTAGTTCCTTTAGGTTCAAGGTTGGATTATTTACTTGAGATTTGTCTTATTTCTTAAACTAGGCCTGTATCACTATAAGCATCCCTCTTAATACTGATTTTGCTGTATCCATAGGTTTGGAATGTTGTGTTTCTATTTTCATTTGTCTCAAAGTATTTTTTATTTCTTCTGATTTCTTCTTTGACTCATTTAGTAACATGTTCAATCTCCGTGTGTTTTTCTTTTCTTTTCCTTTCTTTTGCAGTTTTTTCCTTGTATTTGATTTCTAGTTTCATTCCTTTGTGGTGCTTAATATAACTGCTTATTTATTTAAGCATATAAAATGATGCTTATTATAATTTCAGTCTCCTTAAACTTATTTAGACTTGTTTTCTGGCCTAATATGTCACATCTCCGGAGAATATTTCACATACTTTTGAAAAGAATGTGTGTTCTGCTGTTTTGTATGGAATAGTCTCTCTCTATATATCTATTAAACAATCCAATCTAATGTGCTGTTTAAGGCCAGTGTTTTCTTATTGATTTTCTGTCTGGATGATCTATCCATTGCTGCAAGGGTGGTGTTAAATCCTCTACTATTACTATATCCCCGGTGGTGCTAGTGGTAAAGAATCCGTCTGCCAATGCAGGAGACACAAGAGGGATGGATTTGATCTCTGGGTTGGGAAGATCCCTGGAGTAGGAAATGCCAAAATTTCCAGTATTCTTGTCTGGAAAATTCCATGGACAGAGGAGCCTGGTTGGCTATAGTCCATGGGGCCACAGAGTCAGACAAGGCTAAGCGACTGAACATACATGACTATTTTACTGTTGATTTCTCTTTTTAAAATATGTCTGTTAATATTTGCTTCATATATTTAGATGTTCCTATGTTGGTGCATAAATAGTACAAGATTTATATCCGTCATTGGATTGATCCCTTTATCATTATGTAATGTCCTTCTTTGTCTATTATAGACTTTGTTTTAATGTTTATTTTATCTAAGTATTGATACTCTTTTTTTATTTGCATGGAATATTTTTTCCATTACTTTTGTGTTTCTTTAGTATGAACTGACTCTCTTGTATGCAGTAGATTAAATAATCTTTAAAAAAATGAATTCAGACTACATCTTTTGCTCTTAGCATTTATTCCATTTACATTTGAAGTAGTTATTCACAGTGGTGTACTTATTGCCATTTTGTTAATTGTGGGTGTATGTTTCTTTCTATGTTCCTTTCTCCTTCTCCTGCTGTCTTTTATTGTAATTTGATGGTTTTCTTGAGTGTTATATTTCGATTTATTTCTCTTACTTTCTGTGTACCATGTATACATTTATGGTTTGTAGTTGCTCTGTGTTTTAAGTTTAACAACTTATGTATCCAGTAGTCTATGCTGATTGTCACTTACATTTGAATGCAATCTAAAAACACTGCATTTCCACCCTATCAATGTTTTACATTTTTGACACCATATTTTACATCTTTTTATTTTGTATATCCCTTGATTAATTATTGTATTTATAGTTTATTTAAATTGTTTGGTCTTTTAACCTTCACACTGTCTTTACATCCTTTGCTTTTACCAGTGAGATTTTAAAAAAAATATTATTTATACTTATGGTCTTATCCTTTTCATTTGTTATTTAGTTACTAAGTCATGTCTGACTCCTTGTGACCCCATGGACTGTAGCCTGCCAGGCTTCTCTGTCCACGGGGTTTTTCAGGAAAGAATGCTGGATTGGATTGCCATTTCCTTCTCCAGGGGGTCTTCCTGACTCAGGGATTTAACCTGAGTCTTCTGTTTGGCAGGTGGATTCTTCACCACTGAATCACCTGGGAAGCCCCAAAGAAGGCATGTTGTTGTTTAATCACTAAGTTGTATCTGACCCTTTGCAATCCCAATGACTATAGCCTGCCAGGCTCTTCTGTCCATGGAATTTCCCAGGCAAGAATACTGGAATGAGTTGTCATTTCCTTCTCTAACTTTTCACTTAAATAAGTCTCTCTATAACTTTTCTTGTGTGGTTAGTTTATTAGTGTTGGACTCTTAGCTTTTGCTTGTCTGGGAAATTCTTTGCTACTCCTTCAATTATAAACGGTAAACTTGCCAGATAGAAAATTCTTGGTCATAAATTTTTTCTTTTCAGCCCTTTGATTATAGAATTTCTGCTGAAATAGCGGTGCATGGTTTTATGGGGGTTTCTTTGCATGTAACTAGTTGTTTTTCTCTTGCTGCCTTTATAATTTTCTCTTTTTCTCTAGATTTTGACATTTTAATTATAAGGTGTCTTGGTGTAAGTATTTTTAGGTTAATCTTGCTTGGGACTCTCTATGATTCCTTGACTTGGATGTTTGCTTCCTTTTCTAGGTTAGGGAAATTTTCAGTCATTTCTTCAGGTAAGTTTTCTGTCCCTTTTGTTCTTTCTTCCACTGGGGGCTCTATAATATGAATGTTGTTATGCTTGAGGTCATCCTAGAAATCCCTTAAACTATCCTGAATTTTTAGGGTTCTGGTTTTTTTTTTTTTGCTGTTCTGATTGGGTGATTTCCACTAATTTGACTTCCATATTCCTGCTTCCTTCTTCTGCATCATCTATTCTGCTGTTAATTTTATGTATTTTTTTTTCTGAAAACAAGTTTTATTTAAGTAAGTGTTTAAATATATTACATAACATTAAAACTGAAGAGGGAGGGAAAAAAAAACACACCAAAACCAGTTTAGTTCACATAGCATCGGGCAGCTGCTGCTAGTAAGTTGTAAGATCTACAGCCACAAGACTGATAAGATCGGTTTGAAATTTATTCCCTTGTCAAGTTTAATTAATAGAAGGTTGGCCTCACATTCTAGTTTGGACATCGATTAACTAGGACATGTCTGGTCAAAAATACCTTGATGGCAAGCCAGATGTCCTGTCACCTCACTGGAGGGTAGCTGCTCTCAGCTCTGCCCACTGGATCACGTTGGAGACATCAGGAGATGTTTCCCTGACCACTGAAGGTGTCCTCTAACAGTAAAGCTGCCTCACCCATCCTTCACCCTCTGCTTCATCAAGGGCTGTTCAGGTGGTGACATTCTCTCAGGGCAGGGAACTCTGCAGAGAGACTGCAGAGGAGCTTCTGGCCAGACATAGCCATCTGTGATCTTGGGGCTCTGGACTTGGCTGAAACATCACTGTTACTGCTTTGTTTCAGGCTGGACACTGCCAGGCGCCTAATGCTTGACCTCTGTTTAAATGAGGGACTTCAAGACTAGACAGCATGGCTCTTTTCAGTTAATTGCATGAAGGAATTACACTAGCCCAAGTTAAAAGCAGACCTCAAATGGTTACATTATTCAAGCTGTGAGGTTTTTAAACTTGTGACAAAGGACAGAAGGGAAATTCTACTCATTGCAAGGAAATCCTCACTTAAGCTTCAGTGAGCCAAAGGCACTTAAAACCCCTGAAACTTCAGGGGTCCTTAGCCAGTTCAGTCTCTACCAGGAACTGGCATATGTTCTTGCGCTGGTTACCCTGTAGCTGAATTACTTCTCCATATTCTGGATGCTCAATTACAGTACCATTGCAGGCGAATTTCTTAAGATAATTAGTTTCTTTTTTATTGTAATCATCAGTGATCCCTTGGACAGTAGTAAGGGTCTTCCTGCCGTTTCTCTGTTGAATTCTTAAACGACTATAATCCTCAGTGCCAGCAGGAAGCAGATCATCACCCTTACTTGCATCAGCAAACGGGTCAAAAGAGTGGAGGTTCTGGATAGCAGACATACAATATGATTCCTTTTCTTTGGTGGAAACGGCCTGTGGAAGGTGGTGGTGGGAGAAGGTGGGCAGGGGAATGGAGTGTCAGGAAGTGAGGGGGCTTGAGCACAAGGCTGCTGAGTCCTCAGTGGTGGCTCCGTGACTGGGAAATTTTATGTAGTGTACTTTTAGTTTCAGTTATTGTATTCTTCAGCTCATGTTGGTTCTTTTCTGTATTTTACATCTCTATTTTGAAGTTCTTACTACATTCACATATTTTCTGAGTTTGGTGAGCATCTTACTTTTAGCCCTTTATCGTGTTGCCCACTTATCTCTGTTTCATTTAGTTCTTTGACCTTTTTCTCCTGTTCATTTTTCCCCTCTGTGTACTATTTCGCCTAACTCTCTGTTTCTTTGTATTACTGGATCAGCTACATCTTCTGATCTTGAAGGAATGGCCTTCTGTGGAAACTTTTCTGTGGATCCAGAAGAACAAAGCTCCTTGATCACACAGAATCAGGCACTTCAGGGGTATTCCCTATATGTGGACTGTGAGTAATCTCCCACTGTGGAGCTTCCTCAGTGCAGGAGGCACGCAGGTGGGTGGGGCTGGACTTCAGGGTGAATGGTTGTAGTAGGCCTGACCACAAATTCAAGCACACTGCTGAGTGGAGCCTTGGATAGGGATCTTTGACCTACAGCCTAAGGGGGAAAATGTTGGGACAAAAACAAGATCCCAGCCCACAGGAAGTATCCCTGTGCCCTGCTTACCATGTTCCTGGGTGGACACCACATCAATGGCATCTGGTTGCAGCGCTGAACAAAGTCACATAAGGTATCCAGTTTCCCCTGAGATATAAATGTGGTGATGAGGAAACTATAAGCACAGATGCTGCCTTTATGGGGAGGCAGTGGATCCTACCAAGGTCAGAGGCAGGACCAGGATGGGAGGGAAAAGGTGGGCAGAAATGGTGGGTTCTTTCTTCCTCACACCAGCCACTCCAGGCCCTCTCTGTTGCTGTTATCTCTCACACCTCTGCCAGGCTGGGATCTAGCTTCACTGATTGGAGCTAGATAGTCTCTGGGAGAGGGAAGTATCCTCAGGCCCTCTCCTTCATGTGGCCCTTATAACCCCATCTCGGGGCCCACAAGGATAGTTCAGTGAGTTCTCTCTCTCTCTCTCTCTCTCTCTCTCAATGAGCAGACTTCTGCAAGGGTAGCAGGAGCCACAGGCACTTCTGAGTAGATTAATCATGGTAAGAACTTGGTTCAGAAATATTTTTTCTTGTGACCGGCATGAGACTATTTGTCATTCAGTTTGTTTCACTCATCTAATCACTGTCCAGTGAAATCCAGGCCATTACTAAAGCTGATGACAGCGTCTGTGAGAACCAGTGACTGGCCAGCTGTGAGCCAGCCACCAACATCCAGGGAGAGACTATGATGTTGGGACTACCTGGAGGTAGTGGGCACCTGAGCCCTTATACTTGTCTTCCTCTAAGTGCCTAGGTTAGAGAGGCCTCCAGATTTTCTCTGGCATCATGTGACCAACATACAGTGCCCATAAAGCTTATCTCCAACCAACCAGGACTTGGGGCACAGGTCTCTACTGTAGGAACTGGCTACCTGCTCCTCTGACTCCGCAGTCTGGAGGGGGTCATCCCTCCCTTCCTAAGGACCTTTCTCACCTCCATCTCTCTTAGCGTGTCTTCTTGGTATCCACCACAGGAGACAATCACTCTGGTCTGTGCAGGGAATGGCTTCTAGAAAGAGAAAATAATTGTCTGAGTCCTTGTCTGGCAGCTCCTGGGTGCAGACACATGACGTCTGTTGCCCTGGCACCTGTCAAGTACTGGCCACTCAGCAAATGTCTGTTGGAGAATCAAGGACAAATGAGCAGCACCCGGCACAGTAAAAGAGCGGCCTCCAGGTGGAAACACACCAGCTCCATTTGGCTTACAAAGATGGCTCTTCTCCAAAGATCAACAAACTCTATCCTGTCTCCTTGGTTCCCAGAGGGCCCCCTTGTAGGAGAGGCTGGGTGCAAGGCTGTGCCATGTGATGGAGGCTGATAGGGGTGCAGCAGTAGCAGGTGACAGGGCTGCACTCACCCGCATCTTGCATCCAGGCCCCCCAGGCCACACTGCAGCCAGTGTCAATGCCAGCCCTGGCAGAGACCCTGTTTGCCACTAGATCTCAGACCCAGGTCCCTCTGTTTTGGGACACAAGCCCCTTGCTCTAACTACTTCTTATGGACCCCAGTTTGGGTCCCCACCCCGAGTCTGCCACAGCATCCTCTCCTGACCCTTTGTCCCTGTGCTCATTTGGGCTGCACCTCCCTCACAGCTCAATGCCATGTAAGACTCTCTCCTCCTTCTCTAGCCCCCAGTTCCTAAAGGCTGACCCCACCAAGACCCTTACCCTGACATAAGCCAGGGGTGAAGATCAAGCCCATCATGCATCAGTGCCTCGAGAGGGGGTCCAGGTGCCTGAAACCTGAGGACCCTTTTCCAAAAACTTGCCTGAGTACCACTGAAGGACCATTCCTTTGTGAATGATAATAAGCCCATTGATTTCATGAGGAATCATAGCTGTTTCTGAAACAGGCTACCCCACATTGCTGATTCAGTGCTAAAGGCCTTGGATCAGGCCCTGTTGGAAGTTGACGAATGGTGTTATCTGGGAGACATTTTGCGAGTCTCACATCCTCTCTGGGCTCCCTCCCTGTCCCTCTGTCACCCTCTTCTTTATGCCAGTTCTTGGTGCCCAAGTAGGAGGGAGCTTGAGGGGCAGGAAGAAGATATCTCATCTAGACAGCAGAGACCTCTCTGAGCAGGGCAGTGTGTGCATCAGTCCTGCTGACAGCATCAGGACCAAACACATCACTTACCTTTGGGACTGGTTTTGGGACTGGTTTTGGCTCCTTGGAGATCTAGGATGTTAAAGAGATATAAACACAGCTGAAATTGGCATGGAGGTCTCTGGCTCAGTCATGCATTCAGGAGGGGATCTTGCTCAGTAGCATTGGAGGGACAAAACATGAGCATTGGGGTGTCAACCTAGGTGCCCAAGGCCTGAGCATCTGTGAGCAGCAAGGTTCAACCTGGGCCTCAAACCCTTCAGTTTTCAAAGGGAAATTGACACCTTCATGTAGGGTCAAGTGGGAAACAGGTAGACTAAGAACCTGGACCTGATAGAGGCCTCACCTGGGAGTTTTTATCAGCAGCTCAGACATCAAATGAAGACAAGATTAAACTCCTTACAGCCCTCCTCTTCTCCCCTTACCTCCCTCCCTGGGGTCAGACTCTGTCTTTTGCCATTATCAGAAAACATGCCACACACACTCTGAAGGTGACATTTATCCTCAGTGTCCCCCAGGTACCAATACCAGACCAGACAGCATACAGTGAGCTGCTGTGGGCAAAGGTGGTGGTTGCTTCATTTCTGCCCCTTTGCGTCCATCATAGACATGCAGATTCTGGTGATTTAGTGATGACTGATGAAAGAGTGACAGAAGGTACCAGAGATGGGCAGGGATCCATACTGTTTTCAAAGGCACAATTGCCCTGGAAGTTAGCATCCTCCAGGCCGGCCTCTTCCTTGCATCAGTGTCCCTGCAGACCCCTCTTCTGCCCTCAAGAGCAGACACTCCTGAGGTTGTGTTCACTTGAATCCTTCAGAAGCTTGACTGCTCTGGGGAAGTCCTAGTCTCAGGGGGGTGTGGAGTCCCTTCTCCCCAGGGGCTGGGACAACCCATAGACCACATCCCTGTGAAGATGAAAGCATGAGGCAGGTGGTGGTATTTATGCCTGGGGATGGGAGGACAGAGTGTGTGCCTTGTTTGCTGGTGTGAACACCCCAGAGCTGATGGGAACCTGCCGACAGGTAGAGTTGTGGGCGAGACACATGCCCAGGCTCCTCAGGGGTTGGTGAAAACCTGGCTTTCTATGCTATGCAGGCAGAGATAACTCACCCTTCTATAGCACCAGATGCAGAGAAGCAGCAGTGGGATCATGGCCAGGAATGGGACAAGTGGAAGTAACAAGAGAAGATTGCTGGGAACCGGATCCTCTGTGGGCGCTGGGGGCACTGTGGGCCCTGGGGGCTCCACCTGTGAGACAAACATGTGGGCTGGGTCCTCCTCCTGTGAGACTCCTCAGGTAGTGGGGCCTCCTCCTATGGACAGCCATGGGCCTTATGGCCTCCTGAGAGACAAATGTATGCAGTGGATCTTTCTCCTACGGAAAAATCTCAGAACTCAGATCCTGGTCATTGGGACAATGATGGGCTCAAAAGGTTTACCCTATAGAAGGCACATGTACCAAGGTCCTGGAGTTGTCTTGGATGATCTCCTCCAAAGCACCCACTACCCATTTCCATGTTGGCCTTCCCAGTCTACTCAGGACCACTTCTCCTCATGTTGCCTCATCCATAGGACCCATAGTGGGGCTAGGAGGTCATGGCTGGTACCCAGAGAGCCACTGTGAAGACCTGGGCCAAAGACCCCACCTCTGGCCCTGCTCAGAGGCTCTCTCTAGAGCCCTGTCAAGGAAGTTCAGTCCTCTAAAGGGTGATAGGCCAGCCCTCACTGCCTGCCTTGGCTGAGAGCACTGGGGTTTTGTGAAGACCACAAAAATCTATGACACACAGGTGGGAGAGAGAGGGCTTCAGTGCCCCCGAGAAGTGGGGGTGCAAGAGAAGAGGTAGGAGACCCTGATCACCTACCCGTTAGCTTCTCTTCCCTACTTTCTGGCTCTTCAACCTTGGGTAAAGATACTCTCTGAGGTTCCATCTCACATCTGTGGTGAGGAAGTAAGTGGGTACTTGAGCACGTTGGACAGAGGCTATAGAAAGCCCCAGCACAGGCTGGGTCCACATGGGGGCTTAAAGAATGGGCTGTTCTCTTGTTGTTCATAAACAAGGATGGTGTGCTGCGTACATGGACCTGCAGTGCCCAGCTCTTCCCCACATCAACAGCTCTGCTGGAGAGAAGTGGAAGGGAAGGGGGCATGGAGAGCTCGTGCTCAGGAAACAGGGCTGCTGAAAGGAGGGGCCCAGAGGGGCTGAGGGTGACCCCGTGCTGGGCCTGGAGCCGCAGGTGGCTCCTGCGCTCTCTTGTCAATGGGCCTGTGGATGGGTGATTCTCAGGTGGCAAGTCTCGCAGTACAAAATGCGGACGTTCAGTCTCGGGCTCCTGGGAAGATGTGCACGGGGCAGAGAAGGCAGATGCACATGGGGACCGTCACACTAGGGGAATCCTCACCAGCTGAGACTGGACACGGGCAGTAGCATTAGGCACAGGTGTCCCTCCTCTCAGAGAAACCTCACTCCAGGCTGACAGACTCTGTCACCCAGGTAGGGGTGCCCCAGGCTAAGTGACCTGGATGCTGTAGAGCTCTAAAGCAGCCCCTGGGAGCAGCCTTTGTTCTCAGTTTCCTCTTCCTGAGTTGAGCCCCGCCCTCCCCACAGCCCTGCCAGTTCCCCAGGAACAGAGGGCAGAGTCCCCCTGCACAGGTCAGAGCCGGTTTGCAGAGAGGGGCAGTGGAGGAGCATGAGAAAGGAGGAGAGGCAGAAGGGAGGCTGATGACCTCTGCAAAGTGACCGCCAGTGTTCCCCAAACAGACTTGGGAGGCCGGGGCTGTGATGATCATGAGTGGATTCAGAGCCCTGCCTGCTGCTGCACCAATGCGGTGAAGACACACCCTGTGATCATGGCCACAGCTGTTCCCACCCTCCAGACTCCTGGGTCTGGGACCCAGATTTGGAGGGCCTAAGGGTCTCAGAGGGCCTGGAATCTGTCTCCTAGTACACAATATCCCAGCTTCTTACACTCACTCTGGATGGAATCCAGGCTGGAGCCTTGAGCTCCACCACAAGGCCTGGCTAGGGGAGGTGGCATGGTGTGTCCACTGTGGGCAGAACATCAACACCATTTCTAGAATTGCTTAGAGCTTGAATTGGTATATTTCAAGTGCCTTCAATGACACTTAGTTCACAGAGAGGGTAGAGTTTCTGCAAGGCCTAGACAGATGCCCCAGGTGTCTTGTAAAAGCACTAGCCTGAATTTCACAAAGCGAATGGGTGAAATAACTTTTCAACAATGGGATATGGCTGAGAGGTATTGTTCAAGGGGCCTGTACGCACAGGCTCTTGCTGGCTCTTCTGTGAGGATATTGTTCCTCTCTATTGATTTTCAGGTTGTCTTCCCAGCAGAGCAGGTATTCTAGACATATCTGGATGGAGGCTGCACTCCACCCACCCTGTCACTTACACAATCCTTGCTGGTAACTTTCAAGGATCGCTTGCTGTAGGTCTTGCCCAGGTCCAGAGAGTAATCAACAACAATCACTCTAAAAGAACAGAAAGGGCAGATGGTAACCCAAGAGACAGGATAGCTACAGTTCTTACACTTGGCTCAGTCTGTAGCCCCAGCTCTCCTCTGACCATAGGAATTTGGGGTTACTGTACTGCAGGCAGTATGGGTAAAGGGAGTTCATCCCCAAACAACATGAAATCGAGCTCTGAAATGAAGGCAGATGAGGCACTGAGGAGCCCTGCATGGAGTCAGATGCCCTCATGATCATGGGCTTAGTGACAAGGGGTGGTTGTATGTGTCACCATCCTGACTCCTCTGTACATACACAGCATGCTGGCTTCATTTGGAAAAGCTGCCCAGAGTAAAGGTACCATCCGTGGGACATACCATCTCCCACATCCTGCCCTCCTCAGCAGAGCCTGGCCCACAGAAGATCCCTGAACATCTCAGGGGATTATCATTCAGGGCAGGGGTGGAGGATGCTTGAGCCCTCCTGGAGACAGACGTGTGCTGCCCTCACTAAATGGGGCATCCCACACTCTGGACTCCTCATGGTGGGGAAACCTGCTCAAATGGCCCCAGAACATAAACTCTTACTGTCCAGTCTTAGCAAAAATATGTCCTTGGCAAGTTATTTTTTCATTAGTCACAGAGGCAGGTTCTTTATCTAAAAGAAAACCACATGAAAAGAACGTCAACTGACTTGTCCATCCTTCTACCCCTCCCCTTCTGCCTGCCCGCGTATATCGAAGGTCAAGAAATGCATGGTTGACTTCATAGGAGCTTTCAAATCACTATTAATTGATTAAATCAAATATTTTGATTGCCAATTTTAAAGATTTCTTAATATAAAAACATTATATACCAAAGATAGACAACATAAAACATGTACAAACATTGATTAAAAATTATTCTTTGTTATGCCTCTCTATATTTATTAAAATGTCTTCTGAGATATTTTTGTTAGAGGAAAATGTAATTAAAATCAACCCAATCTATCCTCATTGATGCATCACTGCTCTTGGCAATGAACAGTGCTGCTCTGTGACTCTGGTCAGCCTCTAACCACATGCAGTGTGGCGGTCAGCAGAGGAGCCCAGGATTGTGTGATGGAGTCTCATGTGTGAGCCTTGTTGCTGGCCCACCTCAAAGAGAAACACTGGTGAGTCAAGAGTGGGAAAGCTGTAGAGTCATAGACCCCAGGGGGTTTATCTAAATGCATTTTGTGGGGGTCAGGTTGTATCTAGCCTTTCTATAAATCTGTTATCAATAAGGTTGAAGGCCTAGTAGACCCAGATGGGCAATTAGACCACCTGTGACTATGGCTACACCAGGTCTGTACAAAGAAATAATAATGGGTCTCTTTTGAGAATTAATTGTGATAGTGCATGTAAGGCACTTTGCACATTAACTGACATAGTGGGTGCTCAATAAACATTAGCTCTCCATACAAATGATTTACTTAGTCCTAATCACTCCTGAGAAGGTACAAATCATGGGAAATTTCACTCCCTGAGGTCATCTACACACTGTGTAGGGTGGGAGTGTGGTCATGGCAGAGCCCTGCCCATCCTATGCACTGGTGGAAGAAGGAAAGATGGCCCAGAAGTGTGCTGAGGGAGAGGACGTGCACTGGCTTTTCCAGATGGCTTTGGAATGAGAAGTCATTGAATATAAAAAATCATATCAAATCAATGTATCAGGGGGCTAACTGGCAGAGTTGAGGAGGAAGAGGAAGTGTCCCCAGGCACTCTGTGGGGGAGATCACACCCACCTCAGTGATGAGGGCTCATTTCCTGCCCCCGCTGTGGGCTTTCTCAGGCCACTCACCTATTGTGGAGGAACATCTGGTACCTGAGTATTTTCAAATAGTAGCTTTACATGCATGATAGGGCTTAGTGTATCTACCGCATCGGATCCATTGTATAGTGCAGATAATAGAGACTGAGGACAAAACACTCATTAGGTCGAGATCACACATGTAAAGTGGATCTGAGCCGGGATTCCAGGGTCCAGGCCTGGCGACTGGCATCTGCTCTCAATCCCAAGTGACTCCACCCTTCTTGGAGAGCTCAGTACACCTGGAACAGACTGAGGGTCCTGGGGCTGCCTCCACTACTCACTGGAAGATTCCTGAGAGTCACATCCTTATTTCTCAAGGGAAGCCAAGGCCAAGTAAAGTGTGGGAATAGTACAGCAGGGAGGGCAGACCCAGTACCCCAAGTCCAGCCTCTGTAGGGATAAGCCCTGATCCAAGATGCTCTTGATGTATTGAGGGTTGATCACTCCCTGGCCTGAGCTGAAGGGCAAGGTGGCCAGTCTTCCCAGCTAGGTCCCTTCTTCCATTGTCCACGCTGCCTTTATCCTCAGAGTTTCTACAGTGAAGGGGTTTGAAGCCTTGGTTTGCTATAAGTACTGAAGAGCAGTGTGGGAAATGTGTCATTTGGAAGCACCAAACTGAGTACTTACTATAGACTTGGCTATCATCCAACTTATATCTGCAAGTATAGTCTTTAATTTTGTCTGGATTTAGACCGTGTGCATAAAAACCAAGTTGGTAGGATTCTGCAAAGACAATATCCATGACTGTGTTAGGAGGGGTTGAATGCTGACTTCCCTCTGATCTTACAGTTATAATAAGTCACCCCTTCAACTGAATTCCTTGGGACTCTGATGAGGAAGCAGTTGTGTTTGAATCAATGTCTGTTCACCTCTGGGCTTCACCTGTTTTCGCTGAGGGTTTACTCTGAAGTGGTTGGGCACTTGGGGGCCTCCCACCACTGCCCCTATACCCTCCACAGGGCCAAACCCAACCAAAGGTCTATGACTGATGTCTCAAGGTCTTCTCTGAGACATACCAGGAGTGCTCTCCATCTGGCCCTCCCTTACATAAAGAACAGGAACCAAGATAACACAGGCTGAAGACAGTCCTGACTCTTGGTCTGAACTGAGCACATAAGCCTGGGTGCCTGTGGGGCTTTCTGACACCTGGGGGTCTGTTCTTCTTCTTCCCTGTGCTTATGGCAGGCTGAAGACCCTAGAAACAAGGCCCGGACCTGGGTGAGGCAAGCAAGGTGGTGAGGACCTTGCATAAGAGAATCTCTTATGGAAGGTGCAATCTTAGCTTTGGTCTGAAGTCTGCAATGACTGTTCTTCCCCTCCCTCTCCCTGAGTTTTTGTGCACTTCACACAATCCCCCATAGCCATCCCAGGGACTGACCAAGAACTTTCTTTTGTCAGACTGAGAGACACTGATTTGCTGAGGTGCAGTTTTGGATCATAGCCCCTATGCAGGCTGCTGGATCCCCACTGGTGCTTCCTGACAATTGAAATAAATATCAGGGGATCCAGAGAGGGCAGTTAGTGCACTTAGCCCCTGGTGGGCTGGCCAGGTTAAAATGCAAGTCTTCCTGCCATAAGCCCAAGGTCATTAGCCTTCACCTCTGTCTCCTGGTCAAGGTCAATTAATTACCTAAAGTCAGTTAACTCTGAAGAACATCCCTTAGAAATGTCAGCATAGCCTTGAACTTGGCAGTCCTCATTCCTTCGCTTCAGGTCTTCCTGAAACTTCTATTAAAGTGAAGTTTACAAATTCTCTGCTCTGAAGCAAATAGATTCTTAGCTCATGGGCTGGCGCTGGCTTGCTGATGTATTTTCTTTGACGTTTTGAAAATATTGAAGCCCATGTAGAAAAGTCTGCATATTTTCTTGAATCCAATAGTTAAAACAATCTTCATAAAGAAGAATGGAGCTAGAAGCATTTTGCTCTCTGTTTTCAGAGTATGCTACAAAGCCACAGAAGTCAAAGCAGAATAGTACTAGCACAAAAATAGACACATAAATCAGCAGACAGAATAGAGAGCCCAGAAATAAATCCATGCATATATGGTCAATTAATCTATTACAACTGAGACAAGAGTGTACAATGAGAAAAAAATCCCTTTACTAAATGTTGGTACAACTGGACAGCTCCATGTGAAAGAATGAAAAAAGACCATTTTCTCCATTAATCTACAAAAATAAAGTTAAAATGGTTTAAAGAACTAAATATAAGACTTTAGAACTCCCAGATGAAAGCAAAAAGCAATGGGACAATGACCAACTTTAACATGGGTGTGTCTTTAATGTAGAAATTCTACTTCTCATTGAAATCTTAGTGAATTCCTTTCCTAAGCTCACAGAGAGGTAACCATCAGGAAGGTCCTACATATAGTCTGACTTGTAGTATCAACTAATAAGGAACAATCTGTATATTGATCAAGGAAGACCAGTTAAATAAATCAGTTCATCCATACGATGAAATACTATGTGGAAGTTTGGAAAATATTGTCAACAAATTTGGAAAACTCAGCAGTGGTCACAGGACTGGAAAAGGTCAGTTTTCATTCTGATCCCAAAAAAGAGCAATGTCAAAGGAATGTTCAGTCTCCTGTACAATTGTGCTCACTTCACATGCTAGCAAGGCTATGCTCAAAAGCCTTCAAGCTAGGCTTCAGAAATATGTGAACCAAGGATTTCCAGATGTACAAGCTGGGTTAAGAAAAGGCAGAGGAATCAGAGATTAAATTGCCAACATTTTTTCATTCATGGAGACAGCAAAGGAATTCTAGAAATGCATCTACTTCTGTTTCATTGACTACACTAAAGCCTTTGACTATGTGGATCATAACAAACTGTGGAAGTTTGGGAATAACAAACCACCTTACTCGTCTCCTGAGAAATCTGTATGCAGAAATCTGTAAGCAACAATTAGAACCAGGCATGGAACAACCAACTGGTTCAATATTGGGGAAGGAGTATGCAAGGCTGTATATTGTCACCCTGCTTGTTTAACTTATATGCAGAGTAAGGGGTAGGTTAAGGGTTAGACGCTTAATCATGTTTAACTCTTTGTGACCCCGTACTAGCCCACCAGGCTCCTCTGTCCATGGGATTCTTCAGGCAAGAATACTGGAATAGGTTGTCATTTGTGAAATGCCAAGCTGGATGTATCCCAAGCTGGAATCAACATTGCCGGGAGAAATATCAACAACCTCAGATGTGCAGATGTACTCTAATGGCAGAAAGTAAAGAGAAAATAAATAGCCTCTTGATAAGGGTAAAAGAGGACAGTGAAAATGCTGGCTTGAAACTCAACATTCAAAAAACTAAGATCTTGGTGCTAGTCCCATCACTTTGTAGCAAATAGAAAGGAAAAAGTGGAAGCAGTGATGGATTGTCTTTTTTTGGCTCCAAAATCACTGCAGATGGTGATTGCAGCCATGAAATTAAAAGACACTTGCTCCTTGGAAGAAAAGCTATGACCAACCTAGACAGCATATTAAAAAGCAGAGACATCACTTTGCTGACAAAGGTCCATGTAGTCAAAAATATGGTTTTTCTGGTAGTCATGTACAGATGTGAGAGTTGGACTATAAAGAAGGCCTAGCACTGAAGAATTAATGCTTTTGAATTGTGGTGCTGAGAAGACTCTTGAGAGTCCCTCAGACTGCAAGGAGATCAGAACGAAATCAACCTTGAACATTAGAAATAATACTGAAACTGATGTACAATGCTTTGGCCACTTGATGCAAAGAGTCAACTCATTGGAAAAGACCCTGATGCTGGAAAATATTTAAGGCAAAAGGACAAGGGGGCGGTAGAGGAGGAGATGGTTAAATAGCATCATCAACTTACTGGACATAAATTTGAGCAAACTCTGAGAGGTAATGGAGCACAGAGGATCCTGATGTGCTGCAGCCCATGAGCTTGCAAAGAGTCAGATGTGACTTAGCAACTGAACAACAGACTGCATGATCCCATTAAAGTAAAAATATCCTTGTGAAGTATATTTAGGTAGGTATTTACATATACAAGCTGAACTCTTTGTGGTTGTTAAACCTGGAGACCGAGGGACAAGAGGGAACCTTAATATGGTGGAGGGACAGCCTCTACCCAGGCTGGTTGCAGGAGTATCCCAGTCTGAACAATGTGTCCTGCCCTCATCCTGCAGTCCTCCTGCCTCATCCAGCCTGCCCCACCCACCCGCACAAAGGGTCTCCAGCCATGATGCAGAGCTGGACGCCAGACCTCAGAGGGAAGCCCTGCTCTGCACCGTGTCTTACTATGGCCTCCACTGCTGGGTCCCACCTGCTGTGCTTTCTGCAGACACTCACTCTGGCCCAGTCACACACAGGAAAATGAGTGACTAGCCGCCACCTTCAGCCTGCCTCCTAGGGTGCAAGCCCTGAGGAAACCCAGAAACACACAGATGGATGAACTGCCAAACAATGGTACTAAGAGCTTCAGGCCAGATCCTGCACTCATCCTTTGAGTCATTGAGAAGAGATTCTAAGGCAGCAAATTTAGCCTGTGGAGGAAGAAATCAGGGAGTAGTCACATCCAAGGGGTGGGGGCTGGTATTGCCTGGGAAGGGAGCTGAGGAGACATCCTGGAGGCACCTCCAATACTTTGAGCCTTCATGGGATCTGAGGTTACAGGTGTTGTATGCATTTGTCAGAACCCATCAAATAATATACTTGTCTGCTGCATTTCAAAATGAGAACTCAACAAAAATTCTTCCCCAGGTAAAGGTATGCAGAATAGGACTTTGGAGGCAGTATATTAGAAATAATAAGTTACTTTGAAATGCATCAGGAAATAAGATAAATAGATGAAGAGAGAGAGAGAAGGGAGAGGAGTTAGAGAAAATACATGATAAAGGAAATATGGTCTGATATTAATTGAAAATCCAGGTAGTAGAGAGAGGGGTGCCCATTGTTCATTGTCTCTTTGCTATAGGTTTGAAATCTTTGGTAATACAAGATTGGAAGAGGTAAGTAGTAGTCATGATTCATACTGAGTGATGAAAGAGAGGAAGATACCAAGGGCTGTGATAAGCCAGGGGTGCCAGCTGACCAAGAAAACCTTTGGCATTGAGGCGCTCTGAGTGTGAAATCTCAAAAACTGGACCTGTAAAGCTGAGGAAGCTTTTGCAGAAAGCCCAGTCCCCTGACCCTGAAGCCTCTGCAGCAGGAGGGCTTAGAACAGAGGCTGGGCTTTTGAGGGCCCAGTTGTCTGGCCTGGAGGCTTCAGTCTCCGTGATCAGGTGGGTTAAAGAAGTGGCCTTCTCAGCCCCTTGTGCCCTGAGCACAGGCCTGGAGGCAGGAGGTCAACAGCGGCCTCTGCTTAGTCCTGGAGAGAGCCCAAGAAACTGAAGAGGCCATGTTCCTTATGTTCACCTGCTCCTGGCCCCCACCCACCCAGCCCACTGACTTATTCAGAATGACTGCCTGATGAACAGATTCTTCTGTTTTCTCTGGGGTCTGAGTTCCTGCTTTGAGCTTTCCCTCCAAATGACAGTCATGCTATGTGGCAGCTTTTGACAAGATGGCAACAGTTGGACTGGGAGCAGTACTGCTGGGTCATGCCAGCAGGGAGTGTGCAACAGGAGCCTGCCACCCCAGCTGGGCCATCACAGGGCATGAATTACCACAGGCATCCCCCCTGAGACCTGATAGGCCTGTATGTGTCTTGGGGCCATGATCATAGAATGGTTGTTGCACCGCTGGGACATGCAGGAAAAGACCCCGCATGTGTGTGGGATCTCTCCTCAGGTTCACACCTTGCACTGCAGGTCACAGGGTCAGAGACAGGAGGAGTCAGGATCAGACGGGACCCATAGAGGGCTCAGCTGAAGATGCGTTCATTCTGGGCGTTCTCTAACCACTTCCCTCCCCTTCCTGGACTCAGCAGAGGGGTGGGGTCAGCACCAGGGGTCAGCGATGGAAGCCTTAGTACCAGCTCCTGTTGGTGAGGGCCACCAGCTTCTAGATCCTGTGCCAGTCACTGTGCCTCCCCTGCATCTATGTCTTATTGCATGGGCATTGTTATTTCTGCTTTCTGGAGATGAAGCTCAAACTGGCAGATGCTCAGAAATTTGCCCCGGTTCTGTGTCAATGAGCAGCAGAGCTCAGATATGAGCACTGCTCTGTCTGACCCCACAGCCTACTGCACTGTAGTCTTGCAGTTCAGAACACCACAGACAGGACCAGCTTCCTGGGTCTGTATCTAGATGCATCCAGCTGGGTGCTGTTACCAGTGGGAATGTGTGCTGATTCACCCACCTCAGCTCTGCAAATCCCAGTGATGTGGATGCACAAACTGGCACACACACAGCTCACTCAGAGAGAGGGCTTCTAACAGAAACTCGACTGCACAGGATCCTCCCCACACTGATGCAGGGACCCTTCCATGGAAGAGAGGGCATCCTTGTCAAGTTCCAGATCTCAGGGAGAGGCTGTCCTCATTGAACCACTGGGTGTAGTGTCAGCTGTGAAAATTTGCATGGATGTCTTTATCAGGTTGCTCTTATTATGATGCTGAACTTGAACTGTGTCCAACTGTTTGCTTCTCCACTGAAATAATCATTTCCTTTCTCCATTTTGATGATGTGGTACATTATATTGAAATTTCAAACACTAGATCAGACTTACATTTCTGGGGATTACATTAGGCAATCCCCAATTATTTTTGATGTATTGTCCTTTCTATGTGTTGTTGGATTTTATTTGCTAGTGTTATGTTCAGGGTTTAAAACTTATCTTTTCTTATTTTTTAATTATAATTTTAGATTTGAGTTTGAGAAAGTAATTAGGCTAAACTTGTGGAAATCATATCTCAATACATGTATATCAAGTCATTTTGTGTTAGACTTTAAAATTCATACAAGGCAGTATGTCAACTGTTTCTCAAAACTGGAAGAAAAGGTAATACATACAATAATCACACCACAACCTCTGACAGACATGCCTCACACAAAAACAGACTTATATATTCAGGCACAATCACATGGCTGAAAACTTCACATACATACACCCATCATATATGTATACACACAGCACATGCTCAGACATGATACTTATGCACATCACATGCATATATTTACTCCATTCAAAACACACAATATACCTCCTTTCACCCCCAACACACACTTCACACTCATCCAAACACACTCACAGCCTATACTCACACCACTCAAAGGTACAGACACACTCAGGCACACTCATACCACACACACAGAAATGCCATTCTGTCTAGAACAGTGACTCCAGCACATACCTCCTACACAAGCATAGAATGTGTCCTTGCCCATAACTTGCTTACAGGAATTTCCCACAATCTGGAACAGAAGCACAGGGTCAAGGAGAGAGACAGGTGTGAGCATGGTAAGAAGCCACCCAACCCCCTTCTCAAATTTAGTCACACTCACTGATCTAATAAAGCCTTCTTCGATATTGGATTCATCCACATGATACACCTGTCTCTTTCCTTGTACAATTTGAAGCAGCTAAAAGGGAGAGAAGATGCCTTGGTAAACAGTGAGTGTTGAGGACATAGCAAGTCCTATCCTAGGAGAGAGACCCTCGCCTCCTGCCCATGTTGGACTTAAAGGGCCACACCCGGGCATCAGCCAGCAGCCCACCCACAGGGAGTGTAAAGTTTCTCCACCCGCACCTCTGGTGTGTAGATTTACATGACACTTGTTATTCATCTGCTGTGGCTACCTGTTGTTGAAACACTTGGGGTCCTTTGGGTGACCCTGGGACAGTTGCCTTTGAAAGCTTTCCCCAACTGGGCTCAAGAGTGGCACTTGGTTATTGTTCTAAATTACCTGGTCTCTCTTATAGTCTTTTATACCCATTGAGTAAATCGTGGTCTTCATATTCCGAGCCTTGCTAGCCTAAGAGGAAGAAGGTTTTGAGTATAAAATACCCAAATACATGGACCACAAAGCCGGTAACGATGGATGGGACTCACTTCACTCTTAGCGTCCTTTAACGTCTCTGGCAGCAGTGGCCCAGAAGTCAGAGTGAATATCAGGCTGGAAGCATTCTTGTCTGCAGAAGAAGCAGGGAGTGGGCTGGTCAGCAAGGCACCTGGAGTGACTTGCCTCAGCCTGTCAAGACTGCAGCACAGATCCTGCATCACCTTCTCCTGGGGAGGGGACACCCTGACCCCAGAACTGTCACCCAGAGTGCCTGGAGGGACAGAGGACTTAGGTCAGGACCCACTTGACAGATAAGGAGTCTGAGACTGGCTCAGAGCTCTTCCTAGGGGACCCTCACTAGGGCACGGTGGCACAGCCTTTGCCCTGAAAGCGAGCTGCAGCTACTTCCCTGGCAAGGACAAGCCTCTCAGCTGAGCTCAGAGAGGAGCAGCCAGACTGACTGCCAGAGGCTTGAGCAGCGGCCCCCGCCCAGCTCCCTGCCTTTCCCTAGCAGTCTCTGCATCTTTCCTGATGAGGGCTGCAAACCTACAGTCTACATGCCGATGGTTCTGGGCCGAGCACAGCCTTTCCCACTGTTGGAAACATGGTCACAGGATGAGAGACAATCAGAGGGGAGAGGCTGAAGGGAAAGGGGGCAGAGCCAGAACTGTGGTGGACAGAGTGTGGGCAACCAGGGGGACACCAAGGTCTCTGCTCCTTAAACTGAACTCCATCTGCTCACTGTCCCTGGAATTTCTCTCTTCTTTTTCATGCAGCTCAACTGTAGGTCAAGCAATGATGTCTAGTAAGAACTAGGAACGTGGGCTTCGCTGGGGGCTCAGACGGTAAAGCATCTGCCTGCAATGCGTGAGACATGGGTTCAATCCCTGGGCCGGAAGATCCCTTGGAGAAGGGAATAGCAACCCACTCCAGTTTTCTTGCCTGGAGAATTCCAGGGACAGAGGAGCCTGGCAAGCTACAGTCCATGGGGTCTCAAAGAGTTGGACATGACTGAGTGATGCGTGCGCACACACACATACACACACACACGAGCTAGGAATGTAAAGCATAATCCTATATGGTTCTCAGGAACATCCCTAGGGAAGCTTTTCATCCTCACGGCGGGGAGGAGGAACCTGAAGCACAGACCGGGCAAGGAACTCTCCCCAAGAGTCAGCACTAGGAGCTGGCCGAGAAGGGTCTGCACCAGCCCTCGCTGAGGCTGGGCCTGGCTCTGTCCCAACTGAAAACAGTGACATCAACAGGCAACTTACTATTGGAGTAAACTCTTTCAATCTGCTCATTTGCCTGCAACAAAATGTGGGGGAAGGCAGTGAGAAGACACAATAATATTCTAAGAATTTGATAAAGCAGAATAAATTCTCAGAGCTGTCTTTGTACCTTTTTCAATCCTTCCTGCATGTTTGTGGCTCCTGAAGGAACTATATTCTGAAGTCTTTTAAGACCATCCCTTATTTCTGTTCTAAAAACATATCAGAAAAGAGGGTAGAGGAGGAATGAAGGTTAATCGCTATAAAACAGCCCCAGCTGTCCTGACACCACTCTGCCCTGTGCAGACCTGCCTGGACCAGAGAAGACCCAAGTGATCCTCCCATGACCCTTCTGCCCGTGTCTTTGACACTGAGAGAACTAACCCTAACCCTTCCTCGTCTATCCCTCAGTGAGTGTGGAGGATGCTGCTTTTCTGTCCCATAAGCAGGACCTGGTTTTCAATGTGCTCATCCTTGTCTCAGGCATCCAGACCTCAGGGGACTCATCAAGGGCCCAGCCTTGACCGTCCATGGTGAGAGGGGAGCACTCATGGATGTGCACCTGTGGATCCAGCACCCCCAAGATGATTGGCGGTATTGCTGGCCCCTAAGGGGTCCCTGGTGAGGGCTCATTATCCTCCAACAAGCAAGGCTGAGTTTGGAGAAGTCACTCTGCTGATATTCCTTCCCTGTCTCCCACTCCCTTGCTACAGACCCCTCAGGTGGACTTGGTCCCTTCCTGCCACTTCCCTCATTGGATTGGTGCTAAAGGAAGTAGTCAAGCTCTCCGTTAGCGTCTAGGGCTCCTGGGCTTCATGTGCTTCTGAAGAAATAGACCAAAAGCTGTAAAGGAGGCCTGAGGGCTGTCCACGGGGGCGGAAAAGCAGTGACTCCAGGCTGCCATGAGGATGGCATGTCATCCTCTGCTAAAGCAGATCTCAGGGGATGGGACTGGGACACACCAGGGAGCAGGGGCATAGGTTCAAGCTTATCCAGTGTGATGGGCTGAGCTGTCACAGCACGTCTAAGGAGTATGTGATCCCTGAATGCTGGATTCCCAGAAGAGTTGCTCATGTGTGGTGAAATATGAGAGCCCCAGACCTACTCAACCTAGCCCATGAGAAGAGGAGACCTGGGGCCCATTGCCAGGGCAGGCCAAAGCAGGCCTTGCCTCGTTGAGCAGAAACACACACCTTGGCACTTTCTGGAAGATTTCAATTTTGTTGTTTGAACCAAAAAAATATTCTGGAACTCTCTGTACTCATAGCCTCCTGCCCAGGACCCACATCATCAGGCAAAGTTCTCACCCGAGTGGCTCTCCCTAGTGCTGCCCTTCCAGCTCTTCTTATACACAGACACCAGGCTCCTAGAACTCTCAGCAATCCCTCCTGCTCCTAAAGTAGCCCTCTCATACCATAGGAGCTCCTGCACCTCTTCCCAATTCTCACGCACCCCCACCAGCACGCCTGAGGCTCCCTAGCTCTGTACTGTCTGGTTTCTCCAGCACCGGAGCAAGGCCTATGTGGACGGTGCCCTCTCAGCCTGCTTGCCCTAGTGGATAGGGCTCAGAAGGCACCAGCCCTGGTCCTAGTCCTGCCCCGAATCCTCTGCAGACCCCTCAGAGCTGCACCTCTTACCAGGCTCCCTGAGTCACTCTGGACTCACCTTGTACAGCAAGACCCACCCCAGCCCTCTGCCACATCCTCCTAAATACCTAGGCAGCTTTGGAAATGCCCAATCTCAGGTTGAGACCAGCTCTCATCAAGATTCTGTCAGGCCCTGTGCTGGAAGCATGAAGGCCATGGTTGATTTTGAGACGTCTTAAGTGTATCCCGGAGTACACACAGGATTTCAAGTATTTCCCCCTCCCCTGAGTCCCACTCTTTCTCCTGAACCCACAGTCTTGGACGACTTCCCCTCCTTCATTCTCCAGAGAAGACTGGGGATGCCTTCCATGAGCCTCAAGAAAGCTCTCTTCATCCAGGCATTGAACTCCGTAACCTAAAAGAGTCAATGATCTTTCTCTCCACCAGGGGCAATTCCTCTCCCAGAAGCCCATGTCAAGCCCTTGCTACTTCTCTCTCTTCCACCTGCTAGAGTCTGCCCCCATGAACTTGCCTTCTTTCACCTCACACCCACTCCAGTATCTCTTCTAAGCTTGAAGCACACACATAAACAAAACTATGCCTTCCCCAGCTCCCAGAGTAGGAAGTCCAGTCCCTGCTTCTTCTGGGAGCCAGGCATAAGGGGTGATGTCTCCATGCACTGGCACCCCCATACTCCCTCCCCTGTATCCTTGCTGCTCCAGCTTCTCTACAAGGTCCTGAACAGTGACTGTGTTTAAATCTTGGAGGCATCCAGTTGTAAAGCACCTATCTTTGGTGCTTCACTCACTCTGAATTAGGTTCCAACTTTTGTGTCGTTGAAATTTTTAACATAACAGCTACTCAAGCTCCGTTCCTTCCTACCTCTGAACTTTTTGGCACATAACTGGGTCCACCTCTGGAACTCCAGTCTAGTCTGGTGTTCGGAACCACATTCATGAGGTCATATGTCTCAGTCCCACCAAGAGCAAGCTCCCCTTCACTGAATCCTTCAACACTTCAACACTGCCCATCCCCTATTCCTTAGGTATGACCATCTCCTCCTCACCCTTACTGACCTAGAGCAGAGATCAATACACAGAGCAGGTGCACAACACAGGCCAGAGTTCATAAAAAACCTACACATCTGTTCAGCCAGTTCAAGGAAATCCTCACAATGAGCTGAATGTGAGAAAATGGAAGCGTGCAGAGAGGACTGGGCTGGTGGAGGGCAGGGTTAGAGGGGACATAGGACAGGTGGAGGGCACGGCTTGGGGGTAGAGATGGTCAAGCAGCACAGAGGTCTCCCAGTCCCAGTGCAGCCAGAGATCAGTGGGAGCCAAGGCTGGGGGTCAGAGTGATCAGTGAGGGGAGCTAAGGATGGCCCAGCCTGTACACAGTGGGTCCTCATCAGGTCTCTGAGAGCCCTCAATTTTTTTTTTCTGTGACATCACCCACTAGACTTGCTTTAGTGGGTTAAATAAGTACTTACCTGTTTGAGGTGAGGTTCATGACCGTGTTGCCCTGTGTGGCATAGGTGATGAAGGACATTTGCAGTTTGGGGCTGTGGAAGAAACACATGTACGTGAGCTCAAAATGATACCAGTGAGCAGCCAGGAAAGGGGTGACTGACAATTTCCCTGCTCCACAACCCATTTCTTCTGTCCAGGCTCTGTTTCTTAAACCCTGAAAATTCCCATTCCTTTTGTAAAAGGTTGGGAGCCCTGTGAGATGTGTGATCTTGCTGAAAGTGATCACTGGGATGGCATCCTGGTCCATTTCTATATGCCCAATGCTCACAATGTCTCTCTCTCTCTCTCTCTCTCTCGCACACACACACACACACACACACACACACACACACACACGAGACTTCCCTGGTGGTCTAGTGGTTAAGAGTTCACCTGCCAGTTCAGGGGACATAGGTTTATTTTCTGCTCTGGAAGATTCCACATGCCACATGGCAACTAGGCCCATGCAAACCAAAGAAGCTTGCTTGCAAAGCCTGTGTTCCACAAGAGAAGAAGCCACTGCAATGAGAAGCCTGCACACGGCAACAAGCAGTCCTTCATCACCTTCTCTACATAGTTCAACACTGTCATGAAGCTCACCTCAGAAAGGTAAGTGCTGCTTTAATCCTCTAAAGCAAGCCTAGCGGGCAAGGTCACAGGAAAAAAGAGTAGCCCCCACTCACTGTGACTAGAGGAAGTTTGCATGCAGCAACAAAGAACCAGTGCAGCCAAAGATAAATAAATAAACACATAAACAAATTTAAAAAATCATTAACACACACACAAGGACACACACAGAAGCATATGCACACATTCCCTGCACACACACAACGGTGGACTCATGGACTACTGTGGGAGGGCCTCTCCACTGGCCTCTCTTCTAATGTAAAATTCTTTGGATCTTCCCACACTTTCCTCCTCTCCTGTCTTCCCTGTCCACCTCTTATCTCAGGGAAATTGTTCTCTCTCTCAGCTGTATCTCTCACATACATCCTCCCTTCTTCCCTGCACTGTTTTCTGGTTCATTGACCTTCATTCTCTTCTTGCAAAATTGCTATACTAGGTCCCTAGCTGGGTTCCCCACTTCTCCTGGTTCGTATTCCACCTCATTTAACTTATAATTATCAGATTTTTCTCCTGGAACACAACCTTAACTATGTCAGACACCCTATCCCCTGGCCCCAACTCTAGGATAATCTATAGCTCCCTATTGCTCACAACAGGAAATCCAAGCCCCAGGGCCTGGTATTATGAGCCTCATGGACTTGGCCTCACACTGTTCTGTCCAGACTCTTCTATCGGCCTTCCCCTGAGTTAGCCCTGCTTTCCAGCCTAACAGATCACTCACTGCAGAAGAAATTTCCTTCATGGTTCTTATTAATCTGTCTTCTCGTTCTTCAAGGCCTAGTGCAAAATTCCACATCCTCTAGGAAGCCATCCTTGCCTTTTTTCCCCTTCTAAGAGTACTTGCTTTTTTCCCTTAAGTTTCAAATAAGTCCTTGAACCTTTGCTTTTGGCACTTAGCACCATTTAACTCAGTATTTAGCTGTATGTTACTGGTTCGCCCACTTCCTAATCTGTGAGGTCTGCAGGCACAGACTGTGTTCCTCTATGGTGTAATCTCACTGCCAGGTAAGGGTCAAGAAAGCTGCCAAGATCCAGTGGAACCAATGTAGGGTCTTTCTTTCTGCTTCAGATCACTATCCTGGGCTCTGGACACTGTGCTCCAGACCCAAGGGACTTCCATGCCCACCACCTCTGAAGAGCTGTGTACTCTGCCTGGCAGAGGAAAACGCCAGCCATACTTTGTATACTTCTTCACCATTTTTTCCACTAATTGGTGAATGTCCTTCCAGGAGTTGCCCATGCTGTCTGACCTGAAAACAAAGAAGACCTGAATAAGAGGGATGAGGCACCTTCTTTTGGTGGGCAGATTTTCTGCCTTTCCAGTTTCCAGCAGTCTCTTTAGCAACTCTTCCCCACCCCGTGTAGCTGAAGGCCGTCATCCTGCCTTAGCAACCTCACTGGGTCACCCTGGTAGTGACTTTTACCAGTGTCAGTGGTGGGGAAGGTGACCAACCTGACTCATGTGCTTGGGGATTAGGGGCTCTGGGTGGCTAACGAGGTTGGTTGATACTCAAGGAATAAGGGAGGATACAGTGGTTGAAGAAGTCCGAGCAATTCTAATACATTTGCTCTTCTGGTCCCCCAGTTTTGACCCAACAGTAAGAGCCCTGACCTCAGGCAGGAGAAAGATGTGCTACTCAAACCATTTTGTTTTACTACTTTCTTATTAGCCTGCAGAGCTGAGCCATTCTGGACACCGAAGGTCTTTTCTGGGAACACTCATGGGGAGGAGCTGAACTAGGGCCAAGACACTGCAGTCCTAGCATCATGATACCACACCATCAGGGAAAGTTGCAGGACTTTCCTATCCCTACTTCCAGCTTCTCACTGCCATTAGCTCTGACTTTAGTACCTGAATGGAGAATGAGGAGGCTAGAGGGCCTCACGACTCTTTCTGTTTAGATGGGAGGAACGTCAATGTGCCCAGCAGACCAGGGCTCAAAGGTCCTTGCAGTCCCATACCTCTGCAGGCTGCACTCCCAGGTTATGGAGGGCAAATGTGGGTCTCTCTAGCTAAGTGTTTTGGCACGATTCTGCACATGGTAGGTACAAAAGGCTAGTGCCCTGTCATGGGCTCTTTCCAAGCAAATGTTGGCTTATGTCTTTTATAAGGCATGTGAGTCAGAAAAACCAACCAGAAGTTCAACCTTTCACCTCAAGAGATCACCATGAGCTTAGACATCCTGAATGTCATATTTATATGTGATTTTCTCCATTCATTTTCACAGACCTAAGAGCATCCTTCTTTTCTCTACTATTCCTTCTGCCTCCTCTTGGTTATATCTAGAACTGTCAGGAGGTGGTAAGGAAGCTAAAGATAGAGACTCTAACAACTTCAGAATTATCATTCATGGAACATGTATCTATCAGAAACTTTTCAAGTATCATTTACAATTCCAAAACAATTCTGTTATATCAGCATTATAAGCAAGATGATTCAGTTGTAAAAAGATTATTGTAACTTTAACACATTAGTTAAAGTCCATATAATCATGAAGAAAATATCTATAATAGAATATGCACAAAAAAGTAAGAAAAGCAAAACCTGTCACTACAAAAAATCTAGTAAACATATAAGTAAGCAGAAATGTTGACTATAAGGGACAAAAAAGCTAGAAGGCAAAAACAAAAACAAACTGCAAAATGGCAGAAGTCCTTCCATATAGCAATTACTTCAAATGTAAAAGAACTTAAATTTCCAGAAAAACTTCATAGATTGGCAGAATGGATTTACAAAAATTGACTTCAAGGAGAGAAGGGCCTGTTGGCATGGACTGGGAGATTGGGATTGACGTGTATATATACTACTATGTATAAAATAGATAACTAATGAGAACTGACTGTATAGCACAGAGAAGTCTATTCAGTGCTCTGTGATGACATAAATGGGAAGGAAATCCCAAAACAGAGGGTATATATATATATGTATATACATATACACATATATACATATGTATATACATATATATACACATATATACATATACCTATATACATATACATATGTATATATATGTCTATGTATAGCTAATTCACATATATATGTATATGTATGTGTATATATATATGTCTATGTATAGCTAATTCACTTTGCTGTGTAGCAGACTCTAACACAGCATTGTAAAGCAACTCTACTCCAACTTTTAAAAAAAAGGTCTATGTGTATGCTGTCTACAAGAGACTTACTTTTACGTAGGAACACAAATATTAGAAAAGGAAAGAGGTTCAGTATTCCATGTTAAAAGAAACTTAGAGAGAGATGGTGTGACTATATTAGATGAAGTAGATTTTAAGTAAAAAACTGTTGTAAGAAACAAAGAAGGAAATATAATTATTAATTTGTTAAAATGATTTCATTAGTAATCAATTAAATGGAAATAAGAGCATGAACAAAATATCATTTTTACATATTAAATTTCAGAGAGGCAGATGGATAGATGTCCATTTGCTGGTAAAATTTAGGTGAATCTAGAAAGCTCTTCTATGGTTGGAGAAAGGATTATTTTGCCTTTGCAAAATAACTGGCATAATATACTGAATTATAAAAATTAAGAAACAATACATAATCCTATTTTTGAACATTTATCCTAAAAGGAAGAAAAAGGAAGATAAAAATATCATATCTGAAAAGGTGTCCATTTCCAATATCATTTTTGATACTGAAAAAATTTACATATCAAATAATACCTGGAGACTGACAGACATAGAGAGCAGACTTGTGGCTCCCAAGGAGTAGGTATGGGGAGGAGTTGGATGGGGAGTCTGGGATTAGCAGATACAAACTATTATATATAGAATGGATAACCAACAAGATCTTCCTGTATAGCACAGAAAAATATATTTAATATCCCATGATAAACCACAGTGGAAAAGAATATGAAAAAGAATATATGTTTATATAACTGAATCATTTGATTGTACAACAGAAATTAACATAACATGGTAAATCAGCTATGGTTCAATTAAAATAAGTTTTAGGAAGGCAGGGAAGGGCATTATGTATTCATAAAAGGGTTAATTTAACAAGAAAATATAACAATTTTTAAACAGGCACCAAATACTAGAACACCAAAAATTTATGAGGCAACTGTAAGAATTTAAGAGAGAAATAGATTTACAATAAAGATTGGAGACTTCAATGCCAAATTTTCAATAAGGATAGAAGAACTAGACAAAATATAAGGAAATAGAGAAATAAGGGAAGACAGAACATGAACAACACTATAAACCAATTGTACTTAACAGATTTGTACAGAACACTCTAACTAATAACAACAGAAGGCAGATTTCCCCCCAAAGTGCTCATGGAATATTCTCCTCAGTAGATCATATGTTAGGTCATAATGTAAGTCTAAACAAATTCTATAGATGGAAATTGTCTAACTGTTTTTTCCAAGCACAAATGAAGTGAGAATCAATAGTAGAAAGAAACATGAAGAAATGAAAGATGTATGGATATTAAAGAGTACAGTTTTAAACAAATAAAATAGATCAAAGAAGAAGTCACAAGAGAAATTTAAGAATACCATAAATCAAATGAAAATGAAAAATCAACATATCAAGGCATTTGGGATGCAGTAAAAGTAGTGCCAAGAGGGAAAACAACTATATTGATTGATTGATTTTAATAAAAATGGAACAACTCAGATTACTAAAATCAGAAAATGAAACACTACTACTGATTACATAAAAATAAAAGGATTATAAGGTAATACTATGAATATTTCTATTCAAAAAATTTGATAACCTAAACAAAATGGGCAAATTACTAGAAATATACAATCAACCAAAATCCAATCATGAAAAATATGAATATGTCAATAATTAATGAAAGATTGAATCATAAATAGAAAAATATCCCAACAATAGTGGCCAAGGACTATATGATTTCAAGGGTGAATTCTACCAAACTTTTAAAGAAGAGTCAACAACAACTCTTTCTAAACTCTTCAAAAAATTGAAGATGAGGGAACACTTCCAAATTCACTCTGTGAGGGCTGTATTACATGATACGAAAGCCAAACACTGCAAGTGCAGAATACCAATTGTCCTTAATTGATTGATGCATTAATCCTCAAGAAAATACCAGGAAACTGAATCCAGCAGAATATTAAAATGTTTACATACTGTGACCTAGTAGGATTTCTACAGTTCAAAATCGGTTCTACATACATAAATCATATAAATGTAATATCCCACATTAATCAAATGAAGAAACCAAAATACATGATCATCTCAATTCAAGTAGGAAAAGAGTATGATAAAATCCAACACTCTTTCTTGATAAAAACACTCAAATTAGGAATAGAGAAAACTCTCCAACACAACAAAAGCTATATATGAAAAGTGTAAAACCATCACATCATGGTCAAAGATGAGAAGCTTTTACCCTGAAATCAAGAGCAACATATGGATGCCACTTGTGTTAATTCTATTTAACATAGCGTTGGGAGTCCTAGCTAGAACAAGCAAGCAAGAAAAAGAAATAAAAATTATACAGATTGAAAAAGAATATGTGAAAGTGCTTCTCTTCTTGGATAATATGATCTTACATGTAAAAACTCTCAAAGATTCCATTAAAAAATCTGTTAGTTAATAAAAAATATCATCAGAGTTTCAGTATACAAAATCAAACTATAAAAAATCATTGCATTTCTATATAATAGCAATTAACATTCCAAAAAAAGAAATAAATTCAATTCCATTTGAAATAGCATCTAACAGAAACAAAATTTAACCAAGAAGACAAAAGATTTGTACACAAAAACTATAACACATTGCTGAAAGAAATTCAAGGAGAAAAATTGTTGGAAAGAAATGGGCTGGAGACAATATTGTTAAGCTGAAATTACTAGTAAGGCTATCTACAGATTCAGTGAAATCTCTACCAAAATCTCAGTAGCATTTTTTTGCTGAAATTAAACAATGCATTCTAAAATGTATATGAATCTCAAAAGGCCTTCAAAGAGTTAGAAAAGTCTTGAAAAAGAAGAACATAATAGGAGGACTCACATCATTTCTGGTTTTGAAATTTATTACAAATCTACATTGATCATAATAGTGTAGTATTGCCATAAGAACAGACATACAGAACAAAAGACTAGAACAGAGTTTCCGGTAACAAATCTTTGTAAATGTGGTTAATGATTTTGAAAAGGGTGCCAAGAGCATTTAATGTGGGAAAGGAGAGTCTTTTTAGTATTTCTACATATTTTTACTGGATGTCCATATGCAAAAGAGTGCACCTGAA